CACCCAAACTGGAAGTACAGGTAAAAAGATGATTGTAAACCAATGATCCTAATGAGTATGGGTGTAACACTTAGCAATTAGCCAGACATGTGGCACATGCCTTTAAATGTAGCACGTGGGAGGCAGAGCTCTGTGTGTTTGAGGCCAGCTTGGTTTACAGAGTGAGTTCCAGAGCTAAAGAGTAAACCCTATTCAAAAACCACAAAATGGAAATGAAACAAAAAATAACAAAACATCTCAATAAAATGCTTGCAAACTGAAGCCAACAATACATTAAAAAGATTATTTACCATGATCAAGTTGATTTCATCCCAGGGATGCAAGGATGGTTCAACATACGCAAATTAAAAATGAAATATACAGCATTAAAAAATAGAGAAAAGTCTTATGGTCATCGAAATAGATGCAGAAAGGGCCTTTAACAAAGATGATCATCCCCTTCATGATTAAAAACCCCGAATTTAGAAGTAATGTACCTCTAGTGTGGTAAAGCTATAGTCAAAAATATGGTAAATGAAGGTAAAACAAAACATTTTTCTTTAAAATAGTAATGAGACATTCCTAGTGTCTCCTCTCTTCAGTCTTATTTAATACAATGTTAGAACTCTTAGCTAGAGTAAAAAATAAAAATGAAATTGACATTACTAGAGGAATACATAGGTAAAACACTTGAAGATATAGGCATAGTGAGTTCTTTCTGAAAAGGCGCTAATAGCTCAGAAAATAATAATAAGCATGCATTGACAAATGGGATTGCATAAACCTTAAAAGCCTCACAACAAAGGAAACAGCTGAGTGAAGAGACAGCCTATAGAAAGAGAGGGAATATTATCAACTGTATATCTGATAGGGGATTAATATGTAGAGTACTTAAATTTTTAAGTATCAAAATATTCCCACAAAGAATCCAGTTGATTAATGGACTAATGAAATGAATAGACATTTCTCAAAAGATGAAATACATACAAATGGCTGAAAATCATGAATAAAGGCTCAACATGTTTAGACATCAGGAAATTGTAAATCAAAGCTATATTGAGGTTCGATCTCACCCCAGTCAGAATATCATTAAGAAAACAACAAGGGCTGGAGAGATGGCTCAGTGGTTAAGAGCACTTGTTGCTCTTACAGAGAACAGTAATTCAGTTCCCAACACCCACATTGGCTGGGTCACAACCCCCTGTAACTCCAGCTCCAGGGGATCTGAGCCACTCTTCTGGCCTCCATAGGCACCCACACACTTATGTGTATTGCAATTAGTGAAGCAACTATGAAGATTAGCGTGTGTTTAAAAAAAAAGATAACTAAAAGTAGAACTCCCACAGTTTCCAGCTATACGTTTAGCAATCTAAAATTATGCAATACATTCATGTTTAAACCAGAGCAAAATACCACTCCTGGGAATATACCCAAAAGACTCTAAGTCAATGGACCACAAATATTTGTTTATTCATTTATTTATGATACTGGTATTAAAACTAGGGCCCTAAGGATGTTTGACAAGTGCTCTACCATTGAGCAATATTCCTAGCCTCAGGAACCCCATTTTTTGTCCAGAATGCCCTTGAGTTCCTTCGGCAGCACAGGAAATCTTGAACATGAGATCATCCTGTCTCAGACACTGAATAATTGGATAATAGATTTGACCCATGAAGACTGGCTTACAGGTGTTTATTGAAGAAGTGAGGTCTGTAGGAATGGGAGCTAGGTCACTGGAGACTTTTGTTGTTATTGTCCTCTCCCCCTTTTGCTCCTGCTAAGTGAAAAGGTGTCTGCTATGGCTCCAAAGTCAATGAGCCCCCAGTAGCAGAAAGCAACGGAAAACTTCTCATGGGCTGGAGACCTCTGGAGCTCTGCTCCAGATCCAGCATGTCCTCTTTTCAAGTTGGTTCTCCTCAGGTATTATTGCAGTCATGTTTGTTATAATTCCATCACTGGGTGAGGCCCTGTTGCCCACTATGAGGAATGTTGCACTTTGAACATTTGGTTCAAATGTTCAACATTTGGGTTTTGGAAAGAGTTACATGGGTGAATATGTAAGGAGGTGAGAGCCCCAAGTCACAAGTGAGCCCCCTAGGACTAGAGTTAGTCCTAGAGTTAGGGACATGTATGTTACAAAGAAGTATGGGGGCACAGGGTGGTACCTGATATCCCATTCCTGGTGAGTCTGAGGCTGGAAGGTCACCAACTCCAGGCCAGCCTGGGTTAGTTAGTGAGACCCTGTCTGAAGAAAAAAAAAAAAAAAAAAAAAAAAAAAAACAAAGAAAGAAAAAGAAAAAGGTACAGAAAAAAAAGAATTATAAAAAACAAAGCAAGCATGACAACATACGTGGATAGTCTGGACTGGGGGAAAGACTGGAAGGAAGGGAAGTGAAGAGAGACACACCTCTGAGGAGCTTTGCTAGATGATGGCTGAGCTGGCTTCCAGAGGGGACTCAGAACTCATCCAGTTAAGGCACCTCCTTGAGGAGTGGGTGGCCTCAAACAGCTTGAGCTACCTTGAAGGTCCCTGGAAACCATGCCAGACATTGTTATCTGCTGCTCCCCAGGCAGAGGTGTTGACTATGGCAGAGGTGCCAGGAGTTCCTGCTTCGCAGTGTGACTACTAGAATTGGTGGTAAAAATAACCGACTAGACACAGTGAAGCCAGAGGGATGGTCCACACTTTCCCAGTCAGAGAACTACAAAGCCAGCTGCCAAACGGAGTGATTAATATTCTTCCCTGCGCATCAGTCTTCCCAAGAACATGGTGTTCTGCTGGAGTCGCCTAGCACGGAAAGGAGATGGGGAGGCAGAGACAGGACGGTGACTATAGGACCACCAAGCTGTCCTGCCATGGGGCTCGAGAAGGGCTACCAGGGAGTGCAGCCTAGAATGAGGCTGGCAGGCGCCCCTGTTTTTCAGGGGGTTCTGTCAAAGCAGCTGTAGGAGAGCCGAGGGGCTGTGACAGCCTGCGCAGGGATTTCTGCCTAAAGCCCTTTCACTTCTTGGAATAGGGTTGTGCTCATGAGGCAAGTGATGAGGAGAAACGGAACAGGAAGCTCTTTCACATCTACTGATAGAAAGTAATCACCTCAGCCCATCCGACCAGAGGAAACAGCAACAGCAAATGCTGCAGTGTTCGGCTGGCCCTTCATCAGTGTGTTCATAGTTGACTTTGCTGCCTTCTGTGACTAACTTTAGCAACAGAAGGATGAAGTAAAGAGTTCTAACAAATGACTCTTCAGAACCTGAGTGGGCCAGTCTGTGCCTGGCTCCTCACACTCCCTGCTTTCTTGAGCTAACTCAAGCCAGGAAATAGCAACGTTAAGAGCACAGAAGGTCTCTCTCTGTGTTCATATCTTGTGATAATGTTTTACCCCCTTTTAAAATAACTTTTTTTTTGGGGGGGGGGCGGTTCGAGACAGGGTTTCTCTGTGTAGCTTTGCACCTTTCCTGGAACTCACTCTGTAGACTAGGCTGGCCTCGAACTCACAGAGATCCGCCTGCCTCTGCCTCCCGAGTGTTAGGATTAAAGGCGTGTGCCACCACCACCCAGCTATAACTCTTTTTGTCTTTGAGATTAATGTGTATGAGTGTTTTGCCTGCATGAATGTCTATGCACCACATGTATGCAGTGCTTGCAGAGGCTAGAAGAGGTTGTTGAACCCCTGGACAGGAGTTACAGATGACTGTTAGCCACCATGTGAGGGCTGGGAGTTGAACCCAGGACCTCTGGAAGAGCAGTCAGTGTTCTCAACCACCTAGTCATCTCTTCAGCCCCAAATTTTACACTCTTTAATTTTTGTTTTATATTGTTTTCAGACAGGGTTTCTCTACATAAACCCTGGCTGTCCTGGAACTCATTATGCAGACCAGGGTGACCTCAAACTCAGATATCCGCCTGCCTCTGCCTCCAGAGTGCTGGGATTAAAGGTGTGTGCCACCGTGCCTGGCTACCTTTTAATTTTTTTGATAGTGTTGCTTCCTTGAAGGCTGGGGGTGGGGGCGGTGTTGGCAAGCCTTAGCGCTATCTGACTGTGGGCACGTTCCTTGGAGTCTGAATGTCACTTTCCAGATCTCCTTTCCAGGTATATCAGGGTCCTCTTCCACACTGGGCCAGCGAGGCCCTAATTAGTCCCCCAAGACTTGGGTTAGAGAATGATTTGGTAGAGGCTGTGTAACACCTGTGAGGCAGCACAGTTTCTGGTCAGTACCTCCTCTCCTGTCTACCCATCCACTCAGGACGGTGACCCTTAGTGTAAAGGCCTTTGGTATGAGTCTCCTCGCCTAAGAACTTCCTCTGCCCTTTCCACATTACAGAGACTCAAGTGCCCAAGATCAACCCTTAGTGAAGAGGGGCTGAAGCTGATCAGTGTGCAACTCCGCTTCCTTACTGCTCAGGGAGACTTTTAAAACTCCTGTAATGTGCGGAGAAAGGAGAAAACACAGTGAATGTACAATTCCGTGAAGAGCTGAAGGATTGCCATCGGTGAGGCTGTCCATGAATTGTCCCAGGAGTCAGGGAGGGGACCAGCTTCCCTTGCCCACTGGCTTACTTGCCCATGCCTGGTTGCTCCAGCCTGGTTGCTCCATGGTCCCTACTGCTTCCTTTGCCCGTACTCCTCTTACTTTTCTGACCTACTTCGCACTCCCTCACCCCTCCCCTAAGGTAACACTCCAGGGAAGCCACTTTACCCTGATTTTGTCTCAGGGTTGGTTTTAGTAAACCTGAAAAATTAAGCAATTGCATAGGAAAGGGTTTTTCAAAGAGGAGGCCTTTGAGCTGAGAGCTGAGGATAGGGAAGGAGCTGGCTGTATTGGAAGCAGTACAGGGGGAGTGGAGGAGGCCCTAATTTGTGGCCATCTTGAGCATGGAACAAAGGAATGTGCTGGGGCTGGCCCACAGCAGTGAGTAAGGAGGGGAGGGGAGGACACAGTGTGTAAGAGGGAGGCATGAGCCAGATACTGCAAGGTTGCCCATCACAAATATGGGGATGTGTGCGATGTGTATGTATGTGCCATGCCTGGCTTCTCTTTCTTTCTCGGCTTTCCTTATTTCTGAAAGTCCAAGCTGGAGGCAGAAACAGCTTGCTGCATCCCCTGGATTGTGGGATGACAGGAGAGTGGAGGAACCAGCCATCACTGTGAACGATTTTCTTCCAAATTACTGAAATTCGTCTCAGCATTAGACACCCAGTTTCCAACTAAAGACACCACTTCCCAGCCCCTTCTTTCATATGCAAGCAAGGGGGCTCTTTGTGGATATATAACTGAAGGGTGTCATTATAGACAGTAGACAAGCCTTAAACTTAGAACAAGGGTGACTAGATCCAGTTCTGGTTCCCCACCACTATAAGAGGAAGCTGGCCAACCTGAAAGAATTTACTTCATATTTTGGATCCTCATTTTCCTTTTTCTTTTGATAAGGAACAGACCATTCCCTTCCCAATGTGTATATTGAAAGGAAATGTTGTTCAATTGAAGCAGAATGGTCATTCTCCCAAGGTATGCATGCACTGCTCTCTGAGCCTTTGGAAACGGAAGTAATAGGACTGGGGAAATGGCTCTGTGGGTAAAATGCTTGAGGTACAAGTATATAGACCCAAGAGGGTACCAAGTGACTCTCCTTCCCAGCCTTCCTGGAACCGTATTTAAGACTATGGGTATGTACCACCATGGTCTCTGGGACTTTCTAGTCCTTTTCGTGGGAAGGAAATTTATAGTTAAGTTTCCCCAAGTACTAGTGTAACCATATAACATAGAGAAAAGACAGTGAAATACAAAAACAACAACAACAAAAACAGTAAATGCATTTGATTGACAGTGCAATTGGTTAGCTTTTTCATTAAAGTAAAATTTAATGGTAAAAATCTTGTAGTAAGGTAGGCAATTCATGATGTGCTTACAAAGTGATAGGCATAGAAGAAGACACCACCAGGAATGATATAATTCAATCAGCAAATGCCCTGTAAGCAGAGGTGAGCACTGTAACAGTCAGGCCGACTGAAAACCAGAGTGAATTCTTGATATCACAGAAATCTGAGTTTAAATTGTAGCAAGACAGCTTCTGACCATCACTGATCCCAAGTTTAACCAGGCAAAAAATCAGGCTGGGAACAGAGCTCATTGGCAGAGCTCTTGCTGCGCATGTATGATGCCCCAAGTTAAATTACCGGTGAGAGAGACAGGTTAGGGAGAGATTTCCACATATTATTTATAATAATAAAGCTTTGGAGAGGGTTTTCTTTGGCTCTGGTGATATTTACTCCAGAACCTCATTCCCTTTTGGAAGCCTCTTCACCCTGGAGTAGGGACTCAATGTGTCATCCATCACAAAATCATACAATACTTTCCCCCAGGAGTTGTGATGGGGGAGTTTATCGTAGTATTCAGCTGCTATTTTCCTCACCTGAAAGTGAAAAAACACAGCAAGGTGAACCGTAAGTATTACTGAGGCCTCAAGATGACAGGTGAGTGTCTGACAGACAGAGGGACAAAATACCGAACCAGCCAAAGGGCAACACCCTTGCTCATGGTCCTTCAGACTCCCTGCAGTTCTTCATAAATAAGGACAGTCCAGATCACACGCACAATTAGGATTCAGAAGTGTTAGAAGATGTACAAAATTTATTACTTGGTAAAATAACTCAATTAAAAATCAAATTCCTTTGTAGAATGAACATCCGTTCATCATGCTGATCTGATGGGCTTTGTTAAGATGGATGTTTTTTATTTCATTCTTTGAGAATTTTATACATGTATGCAGCATATTTGATAATATCAATCCCCTACTCTTACCAGGCCTGACCCTGCCAAATTCTCCTTCCAACTGCATGTCTTCTTTTTATAACCCATTGAGTTATTTTACCAAGTAATAAGTTTTGCACATCTTGTAACACTTCTGAATCCTAATTTTAATGGCCAAATGTAAGAATCCAAGAGACTGAACTTTATTAAAATTAGGTTGTCAGATACTGGATATACATTATGCTTTATTTTTAAGTGAATTTTTGTTTGATACTATATACCAGTTTTCTTTAAAAATGAGCAAGTGAAGACTAATTTGGATCATATAATGATCAGAAACTAAAACAATAAATCAAAGCTTCGCTTACCTGTGGAAGCCGGCTTCCAGGAATACTAGGGAAGTCATGATGTTCGTTATGGTAGCCCGCATTGAACATGAGAAAGTTCAGAGGCCCATAATATGAGTTGGTGTCTTGCCCCTTTAAGAACATGTAATGGTCAGCTATAAAATGCCCAGAAATTGGGTTCAAACCCAGGCCAAGCAGGGAGGCTGCCAACATGTAGACTAAAGATTTAATTCCAAAAACATAGTAAATTATAATGTTAAAAGTGATCTGGGTCACATTATTGATAGTTTCCAGATAAGTAACTGGTTTGGGGTTGACAAAATAAGGTCGAAGAAAAATAAACAAAGGCTGAAAAACCACCCAGGCCAGCTTCCTGAAAGTGGTGCAGAAGAACCAGCCTTCAAAGTGAGAAGGAGCGTCCACATCAATGCCATCAGCTCCGAGGTATCGGTGGTGATCCATGTGGTACATTTTATAAGAAATCGAGTATGGAACCCCAATAGGGAGGTTAGCAAATATTCCAAACCAGCGGTTCCACAGCGACCTGTGGTGGCCAAATGGGAAATTGTGAGAAATCTCATGGATCCCCAGAGTCATTGAGTGGTCTATGGAGCTACCAAAGACAAAGGCCCAAAATATGACCCATTTCCATTCTAGGTCTTTCACTAAGTAAAATGAAGCCAGCTGGATGAGAACCATCAGAGTTATGATCCAGATGAGGTTGGGGTCAGGTTTCATCAAGGATTTTATCTCTGGATATTTTGCTGTAAGAGAAGAAAATACAACAAGAATCTTAAGTGGAAAAACTACAATTATAATTATAAAAAATTACAATGAACACACCTAAGAAATTATAATGAGGCCTTGGAGAGAGAGCTCAGTTGGCAAAGCATGAGGACCTGCGTTTGATCTTCAGAACCCAAGGGAAAGAGCTAAGTTTGCTAGCATGATCTTTCCTTTTTTCTTTTTGGTTTTTCGAGACAGGGTTTCTCTGTGTAACAACCTTGGCTGGCCTTGAACTCACAGAGATCCTCCTGCCTCTGCCTCCCAAGTGCTTGGATTAAAGGCATGTGCCACCACTGCCCAGCACTAGCTTGATCTTTTAATCCCCCTACGAGGGAGGCAGAGACGGGTGAATCCTTGGGGCTCACTGTCCAGACAGCACACACCTGATGCACACATATACATGTTAAGTAAAGCCGCCTAGGTCAATATTATACTTCCTGTAAGGGAATAATGACAAATCAAAATTGAGTAAAGTATTAGTCCCTTGACGAAATAATTATCATTTACCATTTAGTACTTTGATCACTTAATAAATAGTATGAGAAACACTGTGTACTATAATAAAGGAGTGTAGTTATTCATTTCCTAGATATTCTTGAATTTAAGTGACTTTATCCTTGAGCAAAAGACATGATATAGATGCAATTTAATATATGTAACAATTAGGAAAAATTAGCCACATTCTAAAAGGTATAATGTAGTTTTAACAAAACTCTGGTTGATCTGGACAATGCTGGAGCACGCCTTTAATCCCAGCACTCAGTAGGCAGAGGCAGGCAGATCTCTGTGAGTTTGAAGCCAACCTGATCTACATAATGAGTTCCTCAACAGCCAGGGCTATATACAGATGATGTCTCAAAAAAAATATTCTCAGGACATAGAAACTAATTTGGAATACTCAAAATTTAAAAAATCCCTTGAGCCTAAAACTTTAACAGGTAGTTTTGTTATTTCATCCAAAAGTTCTATGGGAAGTAAATATAAAACTTGCTTTTATGCTTATTTAATATAGATATCACCTATGGGGGTGTGCTCACGTACCTTGCATGTGCCAGGTTCTATTCCTACACACACATCCTTGAGCAGATCAAATCTAACGTCCCCTTTCCCACCTCTCCTCCACACACTTCCTAACCTCTAGCAACAGTTTTTCCATTTCCAAGTCAACTTGTTTTGGCTTCTACATGTGAAAGAGATGTGGTACTTATCCTTCTATGTCTGATGTTACATTTAACACACTAAGCTCTAGTTCCCTACATTATCTACAAATTATAGCATGTATATGGTTCTGTGTGTAAAGGTCAGTGTTGGGAGTTGCTCTTCAGTCACTCTCCACCTTATAATTTACATTTTTAAAGATTTTTATTTTATGTGTATAAGTGTTTTGCTTGCATGTATGTCTGTGCACCATGTGTGTGCCTGGTGTACATGGAGGTCAGAAGAGGGCATCAGATCTCCTGGAACTAGAGTTACAAGTGGTTGTGAGCCATCACGTCCATGCTTGGTTGCCCTGCAAGAGCAAGGACTCTTAACCTCAGAGCCACCTCCCCTGCTCTCCACCTTATGTTTTGAGACAGAGCCTGTCACTGAACCTGGTGCTCTCTGATTTGACTCGATTGACTAGCCAAAACGCCCCAGAGATCCTCCTGTTCCTGCGCCCCCTGTACCAGGGTGGCTGGCACTTGAAACTGTGCCTGGCTTTAATGTGGGTGCTGAGGATCTGAACCCAGGTCCACCAGCCTGCATGACAAGCGCTTCGTTGACTTCTAAGATATCTCTCCAGCTCATTTCAGTCTTATTTGTCATAGTGTGATGGGATGTTATCGTGTGTGCACATCACACTTTTTTATCCTTGCTGCTTGTTGGTGAGCCCCTCAGCTAATTCCTATCTAGCTATCGTGACTGCCACAACACATATGAATGTGCAGGCATCTCTTTTGTAATGCTGATTTTATCCACTTTAGAGATGCAGCAGGAAGTGCGGGAGAGGATTAGATGGAAAATTTATTCTTGGTGTTTTGAGGAAATAATATTTTTTAGAATTTTTTTGAGAAAGATCCATACTGTTTTCCATAATAACTGTATAGTTTATACCCCCAGGAGCAGTGTTTAAGAGTTCCTTTCCTCTGCATCCTTATCAGTATTAAAACAATGACAGTTGTTTTAGTTGGGGTGGGATATTATTGTAGGTTTGTCTACATTTCTCTGATGTCTAAGGATACTGAGATTTTTTTCATCTGTTTCTTGGCCATTTGTTATTTTTTTTTGGGGGGGGGTTGTTGTTGTTTTGAGGAGTGTCTCCAGATCATTTACTCCTTTTACACGTGGATTGCTTGGGTGTTTTGTTGTTGTTTTTAAGTAACCCTCCTGTATTCTAGCTATTAGTCCCCGTCACGTGACTAGTTGGCCGCTATCTTCCATTCTGGACGTCTGTCCATCTCCCTCTGTTGATTACTCTCTCTGCTCTGCAGAAGCTGCTTGGTTTAGTTAAACACTGTTTCTCAATTTTGTGTGTGTGTGTGTTTGCCTTTGAACTCCATTCTGGAAAATCTTTGTCTACACCAATATCTTCACTATCATTTCTTTCAGTTATTTCTGGTCTTACACTTAGGTATTTGATTCATTTTGAGGCTTATTTTGTTTCATTTTGGTTTGAGACAGGGTCCCTCCACATAACCTGGCTGGCCTGGATTAAAGGTGTGTGCCACCAAGCCCAGTTTGAGTCAGTTTTTTCTTTATTTCTTTTGTTTGTTTGTTTGTTTTTTGTTTTGTTTTGTTTTTCGAGACAAGGTTTCTCTGTATAGTTTTGCGCCTTTCCTGGAACTCACTCTGTAGCCCAGGCTGGCCGTGAACTCACAAAGATCCACCTGGCTCTGCCTCCTGAGAGCTGGGATTAAAGGCGTACGCCACCACAGCCTGGTGAGTCAGTTTTTTAATATGTTGATAAGAGTAAAATTTCAGTATCATATATGTGGATACTTCCATTATTTTGTGTGTCCACTTCAATTTTTCATCAATATTATGTGATTTTCATTGTTGAAGTCTATTATTTCATTGGTAAGTTTTACTTTGAGCTGTTTAACTATTTACAACTATGAGGGTGGTGACTGACTTACTGTCTCCTTCTCACCAAGTTTATTTTTTTTGGATACAGAAAAATTAAGAATTTTTAATTAAATTAAAATATATTTTATGCCAGCTGGGCATGGTGGAGCACACCTTTAATCCCAGCACTCAAGAGACAGAGACAGGCAGATCTCTGTGATTTCAGAGCCAGCCTAGTCTATACAAAGCAAGTTCCTAGAGAGCCAGGGCTGCACAGAGAAACCCTGTCATCCATATGAGTGTTTTGCCTGAATGTATGTATTTGTACCATGTGTAAGCCTCGTACCCTCAGAGGCCAGAGGAAAGTGTCAGATACCCTGGCACTAGAGTAACAGATGTTCGTGAGCTGTCATGTGCTGTGGGATGGTCTTTCTGTATACTGTGAATATGTGTTGCTACCAATGGTTAACGAAGAAGCTGCTCTGGCCTATGGCAAGACAGGTTATAGTTCAACGGGAAATCCAAGCAAAGATTCAGGGAGAAGAAAAGTGGAGTCAGAGAGATGCCAGCTCACTGCCCAAGGAGCAACGTGCCAGCAAACCGGTAATGCCACGACTACGTGGCACTACATAGATCAACAGAAATGGGTTAATTTAAGATGAGAGAGCTAGCTAGCAAGAAGCCTGAGCCATAGACTAAACAGCATGTAATTAATATTAAGCCTCTGTGTGATTATTTTAAAAGTGGCAGCAGGACTGTGGGACCAGGGCGGGACGGAGAAAAGTGTCCATCTGCAGTCATGTCAGTGCTGGAAACCAAACTTGAATCTTCCACAGAGCAGTAAAGCCTCTTAACTGCTGGGCCGTATCTCCAGCCCCAGAGGTAAAGAGTTTTTAAAGATGTCTTCTTGCTGTGTTGGCTATATTGGTCTCAAACTTGGGGATTCATGCAAACCTTCTGCCTCGGCCTCCCAAGTAGCTTGTACACAGGTGTGTACCACCATGACCAGCAAATCACCTAATTCTTGTATGTTGATTTTGTGTTCTGCTATGTTACTGAATTTGTCAGTTCCAATAGCCTTGTGTGGAGTCTACTTTCCTACAAATGTGACTGCCACAACACATGAATGTGCGGGCATCTCTTTTGTATGTAGTCACATGGGCAAACATAACAGATGACCTTCTACTTTCTTATTATTATTTCTTGTCTCTCTTTTGCCTATTTGCTCTTTTTAAAACTTCTTAGTATTATACCAAATTGAGCAGTGACTGGCACCCTGGCCTTCTTCCTGAATGCACAGAAATACTTTTCAGTTCTTTGCCCATTAAGTATGATGTTGGCTGGGCCTCACATAGGCTGTACAAACATCCAACCACTGAGCTACATCCCCAGCCCCATTCTCCTAAATCCTTTGCCAAGTATTTCATTCACAATAGTTCCCATAGCTTCTGTTGCTAAGTATTTCATTCACAATAATTCCCATAGCTTCTGTTGCTAAGTATTTCATTCACAATAATTCCCATAGCTTCTATTGCTAAGCATTTCATTTCACAATAGTTCCCATAGCTTCTATTGTTAAGAAGTAATTTTGTTCTTTTTCTGCCATCGTATTATCAGTTTTACATAAATTTTGTACATTTGAGATTTTTGGGTGTATCTGGTAGATCAGATATTTCTGCCAATTTTATGAAATTCTTAGGAAGTGAGTGGTTTTCCCTTGAAGATGTACCTTAAAGTGTCAGTTTGATATGCAATGTTGACTTTAGTTCCATTAGAGTATCCCTATACCATCTGTGGCTGTGAGTGATGACTTTGGCACAACGTATACTATGCAGAATCAGCAAGAGCCACTGTCCTCTAGAGTGTTATGACAGCAACGACATGCTAATGGTCCAAGCAGTGTGTTGTAGACAGCAGAGGGTGTGAGGGCCTCACAGTGTGGCTTCTCCTACAGTGCAACTGGTGGTCGGTGTAGGAGAGTGGGCACTGTTGAGGCTAGCTCTGCAGCAGCAAGGGCCTAGGACACTGTTGGCCCCAGCAGTGGTGAAGTGCTGAAGCCCTTGTCCTCTGACCTCTCAGAGGTGTGGGCTCAAAGAGGCAGCAGTGGGAAGCACAGCACCCCCTCTTTGGCACTTGCACCCCAGACACACTCTTTCAGCTGAAGTGCACTTTAGGAGTAGAAGCCATCTGAATGGAGCAGGGTGGGGTTTCTTTTCATCCCCTTGGTCCAGGAATGCCCACTGGGGGATTGTTTGTAAAGCATGAGATGGACTTTTAACACTATGCCATAGTATTAAACTATAACTATAGACTTAAAGTGTATGGATTTGTTTCTTCCCCCAAAGTAAAGACATATATTTCAGAAGTACATTGTCATTTTGATGATGTAATTTAAATGAACCCCCAGACTCTTCCTCCTTAAAGTTACTCCTTGTCTGTCTCCAGAAATGGAACACTGAGTAGTAAAATGGTATTTTTCATCAAGAAATATAAAGTCCATTCAGCTTTTTCAAGTGAGATGGTTCGTTGGTGATAAGTTTGTATGGAAAGGCTGAAGGTTGAGAAAAGCATCAATTAACACTCTCTTGCTTCCTTGATTTTCTGACTATTGAAGAGAAAGCTAAGTTTAAGAGTCAGTTTTTGTAAAGGTGGACATCACATGATTCTGAGGCAATATGTAGGTAAAGTATAGATAATAGGTACTACATGATATCTTACAAAATACGTACAAGTAAGCTGCAGTGTTGATGGAGAGAGAGAAGAAACCCAAGAACAAGACAGAAGTCTTATAAACGCTGCCTTAACATGAAACTCAAAGGTTCTCGCACCCACTAGTGTTAACTCATTCACAAAATAAGGATTTCTAACTTAGATACTCATAAAAATTGGGATCTGGTCTTTTTATTGGACAAATGGATGTCAAGAGACAACTAGGGAACTAATTTGTATAGCAGAGATCTCCGGGGGTTGGGGGTGTGCCACAGTGTAGAGCTGCTGTGTGAGACCCTGGGTTTGGTCCCCAGCACTGGAGGAAGGGCTCCTCCCATTCACCCCCGTCCCATTAGCGTCCTTGGTTTAAAGAGAACAGGTTAGAAGCATGCTCTTTGCAGACAGTCTAACCCAGGTTACATCCTCCTCCTAGCGCTGACCTCCTTCACTCTCACTGCATCTTCTAAAAGGCAGAAAAGGCAGAACACTGGAATGAGGAGAAGTTAGGCAATGTCAGAGAGAACCCAACTCAAAAGGCTGGTGGGTCATGAAGAGCAGTCTGGGAGAGAGGAGAGAATTCCCTGGGAACACGGAAGGGCCCTGTATACTCTAGTATACCTGGTTAGTCTGTGTTAAAGCCCAAAACAACTGTCAAGACAAGCCAGGTATTTTTGTATTTGGCTGGTCATCTGTGTTTCAGTTTCTTCACCCTGACAACCAAAAAGGATGAGAATTGTCTAGGAACTTCCCCTGATATCCCAGGTTTGTGGTGGATTCACAAAGACAGGAGATGTGAGCACACCAAGACCTGACCTCTCCAACAGGCCCTGGGTCCCAGGGTAGTGCTGCCCCTCACTGGGACCTACATGCATTGTACATCGTGTGTACCCCATTCTCAGACCCCAGGATCTCCCAGGACCACTTCCTGAGCCTCACACTCCAGTGGTGGGCTATTTAGAGAAACCACTGCCCACTGGACGTTCTAAGAGTCTCCTAGTTAGTGGATAAGGCCTGGGATGTCTCAGTCTGGAGATCCTTAACCTGAATCAGCAGGTTGGGCTGAGGGTGCTCAAGCTCAGGGACTGGCCCCTGCCTCTTCACCAAGCAGGCAGTTCATCTTGAGGATCTGTGAAGTCCCATGCATCCCCAAGCTGTGAGCACCCTGAGCCTAGCCCAGGCCTCTCCTTCTGTTGGGGGCATGAGCAGTAGCCACACACTCTGGAGCATATGCTCAAGATCTCACCCAGAATCTCTCTGCTCCTCTGTGCATGTGGTTCATCCGTGTCGACCCACTCAAAATCTTCCCGAGAAACGCGGCTCCCCATGGCTGGGCCTGGACTTCTCTGGGTTCTGCACCACGTCCAACCTCTGAAAGCAAAGGAGGTAGAGGATGTTACAAGCTCTGGTGTGCAGGTGCCTGAGCAAGGCTGAGTAAAATAACAGAGGGGCAGAGCCTAGCTTGCCCCGCCCACTCTCCCCAGTCACAGCCCTCTGGCTCCTAGCTCTGGGGCCAGACTAGGAAGAGGTGGTTAGCTATGAGGTTCTGTGGCTTGTGATCACCTGTGGGATTCAGCTCCTGCTCTCCTGCAGGTGTCCAGTGTCAGCCCCTCATTCTCAGACAAGATGAAAAAGGAAGGAAATGTCTCTGAGTAGACAAGGCTGTTGCACAGAACCTCCTGGAACTGAGGATCCTGAAGGGTTGCTGCAACTTCACCAAGTCAGGAGGATCCCCGCTTTAATACGTGGCAACAGCCCAAGCTGTGTATTTAGTTTCCAAAGTAAATGATCAGCAGACCGTGTGTGTCGGCTTCTAAATGTAAAGCTTCTCCTGCCCAGAAGGAAAACGCAGGCTGTGTGGCGCTGAAAAGCCACTGAACAAAATGGAAACATGATTTTTGTGAGAGGGAAAGCTGACATGGAATCTGTCCTTCCAATGCATGCATTTCTGTAACTAGCATCTCTCACAAAGGTCATGGAGATCTTCAGGAGGGGACATTCTTTTTCTAAAATAACTACCACTTCTGTGTCCAAACAATTAACTAGGACTAGGGTTACAGAAGGACAGGCAGCGTAGTTCCAAGTAAAAGGACATACCAAACTACACACTGCCCATGCCACACCACACACCCAGAGAACACAGAGATGCTGTCAGCCTGAGACATCCATAGGGAGCACTACCCTACACTGACCTGGGATCTTCAATAATTATGGTTCAAGGAACATAAACAAAGGGTAGCCTAAGAATTAAAGGCTGTCTAAAAGATGTATAACCAACTTCAATATGCTTGTCTTATTAAGATTCAGATGCAAAGATGCATACTTTTGAAAACTGATTTGGCATTTAATTTAGATAGATGAGGTGTTAGGAAGTTAGTGCTAAAAAGTTCACTGGAGAACTGGGCAGTGGTGGTGTATGTCTCTAATCCCAGCACTTGGGAGGCATAAACAGGCAGATCTCAGTGAGTTCAAGGCCAGCCTGGTCTACAGAGCTAGTTCTAGGACATTGGAGGCTACCTTATCTTGAAAACCAAAAAGAAAAAGAAAGGAAGAAAGGAAGAGAAGAAGAAGAAGAAGAAGAAGAAGAAGAAGAAGAAGAAGAAGAAGAGGAAGAGGAAGAGGAAGAAGAAGAAGAAGAAGAAGAAGAAGAAGAAGAAGAAGAAGAAGAAGAAGAAGAAGAAGAAGAAGAAGAAGTTGTTGTTTAGTGGGGATATAGTATTATGGTTATAGTTTCTCAAAAGGGTTCTTATCCTTTAGAAGCAAGTACCAGATAAATGCCAGGGAAAAGTACGTAGTTATGCTCTACTACTGATATAAGCTACAGTTCTTGGTGTATTGATATGAAATGGTCTCCAACGCATATGTTAAATGTAAAGCAGTAGGTATAAAGAGAATGGTGAGTGTACACAATAAATGTACTTGCTTCCTTGCATATGCAAACAATATGCAAGACATCCAAGAAGTGACTACATTGTGCCAGAGTAAGTAGGAGAGAGGATGAGAAGGGAATATTTCCCCACTGTGTCTAACAATGACCCTCCTGTCACTCCCCCCAGGGTACTGTGATTTCAGTGTGTACCACATTGCCAAGGCACCAGTAACTGTAAAGCAATTTCCCAGGAATATTTACTATTTGTTTTCTTAAAACCTGCAAAAGTTCTTCTTCAGTTACTTCCAAGTCCCCTCCTCAAAGCTATGTTTTCCTCACGGACTGAGTGAAGGTTCAGCCCACCGAGGATCTCTGCACAACAGTGCTCCCCACCCTGGGCTGTGCAGGGTGGGAGCACGTGAGCACCCTGAGCACTCTACTTGTGCACTGCATAAGGAGTAGCAGCTTTCCCCACAACCCCTCCCTGTGCCTCCAGTCAGACTTAGACTTTTCATTTGCTGTCAGCGCCCCTGATTCACACCAAGCCTGGAGCCTGCTGGTAACATAAACTGCTGCCTGCTTAGGCCATGTTCTTCATTCCCTCTCAATATCAGAGTCTAAGTTTATGTCCTAAGCTAGCCTTTCCTGACTGCTCAAGAGCTTTTCAGACCCGACCCCCTTCTGTCACATTTAGATTTTGTAAATGTAGACTCTAGGGAAGGGTAAGGAGAAAAATGATTCAGATTATAACGTAGCTTTTTTTAAAGTAGTGTTTGGCTGGGCGGTGGTGGCGCACGCCTTTAATCCCAGCACTCGGGAGGCAGAGCCAGGCGGATCTCTGTGAGTTCGAGGCCAGCATGGGCTACCAAGTGAGTCCCAGGAAAGGCGCAAAGCTACACAGAGAAACCCTGTCTCAAAAAACCAAAAAAAAAAAAAAAAAAAAAAGGTAGTGTTTGACATTCTAAGAAAAGTACTTGAGCTATAGAATGACTAGAGAGGGACCCTCGTTTTAGCTACATCCAGGTCTGCAGTTTCAGAACCTCTCACTGTGGTGTGAGAACAGAAAAGTCACCTAAGCACAGACCAAATGCTTTGGGCTTTGAAATGGCCTGAATCTCTTATCTAGCTTTCATATCTTTTATTATTCTTGGCAAGAGATATTCAATAAGATAATCATCCCAGTCATTCAGGAGGATCCATCCAGTGTTCCGTCAAAGTCCTGGAAGTCTACACAGCCCCTGATGGTGCTGGGTATCAGGAGAGACAAGGGTTTTCCTCCACACCAACTTCCCCCTTCCCATTCTCTAATTAGTTAGCTAGTTTGTTCTGGTTTCTGTATTTGAGACAGTGTCCCTCTGTAGTTCATGCTGCTCTCCCATCTGAGATGCTCATTCTCAGCCTGGGATTGCAGGTACATGCAAACACATGCAGCTACCATTTAATTTTTGAACAGGCATTTGAATAATCATTCAGCTGAACTCTTAGAATGACCTGAAAAGATTTGGGCCTGTGAGATGCTATGTCAATGCTAATTCACAAAAGAAAAATTACAGTAAGCCTTCCTCACTCTAAACAAACTTTGATCATAACATCTACTTCTGGATATCAAGTGGGCACTACACCCTGTCAGTAACTTTTTGTCTGTAAATATCTGATTATTTTGTTGTTGTTGATGTTACTGTTGTGCTTTTGGATTAGTAATGACCAGATGCATTTGCAGTTAAAACTGTCCCACACGTGGCTGTAACTAGAGCAGGACTGACACGAGGCTAGCACTCTACCTCACCCTCTGTCCTCTGCCCTTCAGGCCTCCCTCAGATTTGCTGTTCCTGCCCAGTATTAGAGGCCTTTGTGCCATTTAGAGCTGGCATCTTTAGTCCCACAGGCTCTGCGGTCTCAGAGTCTACGCCCCTGAGCTGCCTCTCCTGGTGTCCCTTTTCTTGCAGTACACAGCCTTCCCAGGGCTCTGGGCCTCCCTCTTTCATAGGGATGACCTCCATCAGTCGAGATGCTTACTCATTTCTGTGGGGTTCTGTGGGATTCTGTGGGTTTGTCCTCACATCTCTGGTTTGGATACCTCAGTTCCCAGTTGCCAATCTACTGCTTAAGTGACATGTCACAAGCAGGGCCACCCTGAGATGCTGGGCTGTCTGGTTATCCCATGAAAGCCAGATGGTTCCTCATGCTTTCTTTTTCCTTCTCAACTCAGCTCAAGAACAAAAGTGGACTGTAGGGGAACTTACATCGTGACCTCAACAGAAACAGGAAAAAGTGTATTAAGACCAATTTAGCAACAGTTTTGAAGACAATCCAATGAAACCTACTAGTCAGAATGAAAGATAAATAGGTGGGAAATTAGCAAACAAAATCACTCCACTCTGTGCTTTTATAGAGCAGCAGCAACTGTTTCAAAGTACAATTAAATTGAACAAAACAACTATGAGAACATAAAAATGCATCTAGAAACACCTAACCAAAGATTTCAAGGTCAACCATCTGGTGGGAGATATACAGGGGAGTGAACCAGGGCTTGTGGGTAACAAGCACACACCACCACCCAGCACCAAACTCCATCCAATAACATAAGCTCTTTGTAGAAAGACACTAAGGACTTGAATTCATCATGCAATAGACCATACTAATAGACCGGGAGGCTAAATTCCATAAAAATATCAGTTCTCCCATTCAGCTAGTTGATCTACAGATTCAAACTGATTCTAACCAAACTTGCAAGTAGAATTTTGTTGGAAATTGATCAGATGCTCTTTAAATTTACATGTAAGAGTAACATCAAGATGAAGACACACCAAGATAACTACAAAAGAAGGAAAGTGACTTTGCCAGAGATTGTAAATTCTTATACAGCTCTAATAGGTCACTTATAGAATATCATGGCTATTTCTGGATGCAGTAACAAATTACCAGAGACTTGGTGGGTTACCAAAATGTAAACATATCCGTATAATTCACAGGCAGGCCAGTGTACAACCTTGGCACAGGCATCTTCACTGTCTGGTGAGCTCTCTCTTCCTAATTCAGAGAGAACATCTTTTCACAGTGTCCTCATGGTAGAAGTAGAAGGAAGCTCCCAAGGAAGCTCTTTTATAAGGGCTTTAACCCTATGTATGAGATCCCTACTCTCACTTCTCCAGGGCCCTGCCTAGAAATACCATAACACTGATATGTAACCGATGAATTTTAGAGTAGACACTTACTCTGTAGGAGACAGAATATATATTATTAACATATGAAGAAAGGTCATAATAATGGGGCAGAATAGAGGTTCCAGAAAGAAATGCTATGAGTATGAGTACCTTAAAATGAGTGAGAAAGAAAGAGTTTTAAGTGAGATGAACCCACTCCACTGGACACTAACATGGTTCAGGTAGATTATGGCTAAAATGTGGAGGCTGAAACTAAGTTATTTTTAAACTTAGGAGACATATAGTTTATTACATTTAGGGAGGATTTATTAAAGACAAAAAGCATAAACCATCATGGAAATACATTGGTCACTAAGAGTATAGGTCAGTGGTCAGAGGCATGTTTAGTTTGAGTCCTGAGGCCCAGCCCTGGAACCACAGACCAAGAGTGAAAAAGAGACCAGTTAAGATCTGTTTATCACAAGACAAGAGTGGAAAGTCAAGCCAAGAGAAAGGGACTGCAGTGCAAATGATCAAGAAAGGATTCTGATGTAAATACAAGGAGGACTCTGAGGACACTCAGTGGGGAGGGAGGGGAGACAGGACTTATCAGCACAAGAAGCACTATGGCCTCTCAGTCAGGGTCTAATGAGGAGGAACACACACTTTTACGTCTTGGTAACAAAGGGATTCTATTGTGATAGACTGGTTACACAGATAGTGCAAAGTTCAGAGTAACATGGACAAGGAAGACTCTGTCCCTCAGTTGGAAGGCCTCCTCCTCAGGCAGGAGACAGCAGGACCTCAGTACCACATCCCCAGTGACAACAGAGCCACCCAGGGCCTGTCCTGGAGCCCAAACTATAGCAAGTGGGACCTGAAGCAAAGAAAAGAAGGGACAGATCCTTGACTTATCCTTCTGCCTTTCCTCCTGTCTCTCACTAGGCAAACAGCCAGAATCCAGCTGATGTGGAGCCTTAGAAGCAGCCTGAAGGGTAGAAATACTCAAAGGAATGAGTCTGGGAGTAAACAGGTATGAGCTTATGTAAACTGCCCAGGTTGATGTGAAAAATGTCCCCCACAGCCCATTCTCAGAGGCATGTGGATAGAAGCCACAGTAAGATACAATTTCAGAAACTCTGACTGCCAGAGTGAAGGTATGGGCAGATCTGTGTATCTACTCTATAGTGAATCAATCATAAAACAATCTATGAAATATGATAACAATTTAACATCTCTAGAAACTGTCTCATCAACATTCTCCCAAGAAAATCTGAATATCTCTAAGGGGATGTGTTCTGGTGTTTGAGCCATGCATGGCAGGCTGTTTTTCTTCTTCCCAGCTCAGCATAACAGAGGCATCCCAGACAGTCTCTGGCCTCAGTTCCCAGCCTGGGATTGCAGTGCCTCCATGGAGGGCAGGAGGCCAGCATTTCTCATTCCCGTTTACTTCTGCATGTTGCAAAGACAGGAGAGTGATGTTGAAGTCAAGGGCTACACTCACACTGCCACCCTTGACTCAATGGAGTCTCGGACAAAGAGGCCTGCGTGCAGATGGACACAAGGCGCTGCCCTCACCTTTAGGGAATGTGACTCCAGACTGTTTGAAAGAGAAACAGGTCGTAAGAACAGAGCTCCAAAGCTTTCTCCAAGGAATGGGAGTTGGTTAGGCCAGAACATGAGGAAATTCAAGGCTTAGAGTACACACAAAAACAAGACATTTGGTAGTGGGCAGCTAAGAGGAGGCTTAAGACCAGCAAGCTTAAATCATGTTCCATTAGGTTACCAGAAACCAGTGAAAGAGACAGGGAGGAAGCATTCAGGGGTCACAACACATCTTAACAACTGGATTCACTGTCCTCCCCTACATCCCACTGTTATCTCATTGATAAGAGTCAGCACATGGAGGCCCTGGATTCCATCCTTAGCAGCAACAGGAAAGCCCCAGATGTTCAAAGTCTCCTGTGGGTGGACATGTTTGGGTGTGCCACCACAAGGCACTAGAGACGGCTCCCTCTGTGAGTTGCTTCCACAGTCGGTCCCCCTTACTTCCTGGCAATCTAAAGTTGGCTTCACAACCAAGATTCAAGGGCAAAGAGAGATTGTGTCACACCCAATAGGTCAGATGACATGGGAAGATTGGGACCTATCTGGTCCTCCTACCCTGGTAGTGGAAAAGAAACAAGAACACCGTGATCTATTCTAGACACAACCATGGGACAGATAGGTGGCAGTGGCCAGCAAGTGTTGGAACAGATACTAACGGGTTTACAAATTGTCTCACTGGGGGAAAACCACGACAATATTAACCGTGTTTTACAGTTGATCAGCCACTTATTGTCTTAGAAACTGGCAGATGGACTCTCTGTAGGATCTTGATTCCCTTTGCAGTCCCCAGAGTATTCTTTATTCGTAGGTTGCTTCCGTTGTCTTCTAAGGTCACTTCCCCCTCATGCAGGCCATGTCTTCTAAGCATGTAGTTTAGGCTCATTCCTCTTTGTATAATCCAATCATAAATCACGCCAAAGCCAGCTGTCATGCCACCACCAAATGGGTTCAGAATCCAGTTATGAAAATGACATCTGCTGTGGTTTTGTACATCTTGCCTAATTTTTCCCAGAATTTCTCTCTTGGGTGCTATTTTCTTCCCAAAGTGTCTTAGTCAGGGTTTTTATTGCTGTGGTGAACACAAGGACCCAAAAGGAAGTTGGGAAGAAAAGGGTTTATTTGGCTTACACTTCCAGATTGCTGTTCATCACCAAAGGAAGTCAGCACAGGAACTCAAACAGGGCAGAAACCTGGAGGCAGGGGCTGATGCAGAGGCCATGGAGAGGTGCTGCTTACTGGCTTGCTTTCCATGGTTTGCTCAGCCTGCTTTCTTATAGAACCCAGGACCACTAGCCCAGGGATGGCACCATAAACCATGGTTTGTGCCCTCTGCCATTGAGCACTGATTTTGAAAATGCCTTACAGCTGGATCTCAAGGAAGGGTTTTCCCAGCTGAGGCTCCTTCCTCTCTGATGACTTGACTTGTGTCAAGTTGACACACAAAACCAGCCGGAACACAGGGCAAAGAGCATCAGCTACTGTTTGTTTCCTCTGAAGTAGACTGGCCATGAACTTCCTTCTCAGAATAATTCCTGCATCATTCATGGTGTCTGCAATCCTCAAGCAGCCAACGATGTAAAAATAACAATATTAAATATTGATGAGGACGGAAGAGAATTAATTGCCCATATATTCTTAGGAGGCCGTAAAATGTTATCATCATTATGGAAAACAGTTTTGCATTTGTTATTAAGTTAACCATACATTTGCCATAAGACTGACAGCCATTCTATTCTTTGCTCTTTTCCCTAGAGCAATTAATACCTCCTCAAATAAGGATTAGTATGTCATTCTGCAACTTTTATTCACATCCAAAGCTAGAAATGATTTGGTCATCCATAGCTGACAGGCTAGAGAAATTCTGGTATAATTTATTTATATGATATACTGCTACTTCAGCAATGTGTTTTTTGGTGTGACAGGTAAAGAAACTCCATTTGATGTCATACATCCATCTTGGTACCCACTAGCCATTTGTCTCTGACTCTAGTCCCTGGAAGGTAAGTTCTCAGTAGCCCGGACTCAGTGAGCCCCGCACAAAAACATAAAGCCGTGTCCGTCTACTTGTTATGAAATGACTAACTGCTTCTTTGGCTTCTGTAACTTGCTTACGTAGATACCCAAAGATTGTTTTGGGTCATCTAACTTGGCAGAAGAGATAATCTATTGCCTGCTTGCATAGACAGTGAAGTTCTTCTTGTGTCTTTTGCTTTTAAAAACGCTTCCCTACACTCCTCCTTCACGACATGCCTGAGATTGGGCTTCAAGGCTGTCGTCCTGCTAGCAGCTAATCAATAAACCCTTTAAGTATGACTGGATTGAATCTATGGTCTTCTCCCAGGGATCACAAACTCCATGACATTAGAATCTCAAAATGATACTGGGGAAATCAGAGTCCCCTGTTGGGGTTCTAAGCTTGATTGATGAAGGAATTTAAGTATGTACACAGAAAAGCTCAATGACAGTATTTTTAGAGTTTAAAAGAAAAATATTTCAGTGTAGTCAAGCTGTAAATCTCAGCAGCTGCTCAGAGAATAGGAGAGGGAAGGGGAAAGCCCTCTGCTTCAGGTAAGCCAGCATGGAGAGCTGTCACATGGTAGCAGACATCCACATGGTGGAGAGAGGAGGCCTTAGAGAAAGTGTAATGAATCCAAAGATCAGGAAAAGCATAGATTCTCTCCAGCATTTAACATAAAGAGGAGGCTGGGTGGTGGTGGCACCTGCTTTTAATTCCAGCACTCGGGCAGCAGAGCCAGGGGGATCTCTGTGAGTTCGAGGGCAGCCTGGTCTACAGAGCGAGATCCAGGACACGCACCAAAACTACACAGAGAAACCTTGTCTTGGATAAAGAGAGAGAGAGACAGGAGAGAGACAGAGAGAGAGGGGAAAGGGGAAAGTTTTACTTTTCTGAGTTAGGATGTTAGTTATTATGTGGCGCTGTGTTATTCATTAAGTGGCGCTGTTTACCATGTGAGAAAAGCCACGAGGCACAACAAAACCCACTATAAGAGTTTATTAGGGGAAAGAGAACAGGGGGCAGAGCTTAGGCCCATGAGAAATGGTGCAGGGAGAGAGAGGAAGAAGAGGGGGGAGGAGCCTGTGACCTGCTTTTTATGGATTCCCCCCACCCAACACCCATGCATGTGCATATGCATGCAAATTACGTGATCACTAAACTTACGGATTATGTAGGACCTAAAGCCCTGAAATGACTAACATCTTGCCTGGCTACTGAATAGCACAATGTGTGGTCATGTAGCCAGGGGAATGGCCAGGAATTCCAACATAAGATCCAAAAAAGTGAGCAGACCCTGCTTGTACTGATGAGTTTTATGTCAACTTGACACAAGCTGAAGTCATCTGAGAAGAGGGAACCTCAATTGAGAAAACACCTCCATAAGAATGATCTGTGGAGCATTTCCTTAATTGGTGACTGATGGGGAAGGTTCAGCCTTTTGTGGGTGGTGCCATCCCTGGGCTGGGGGTTCTGGGTTCTAGAAGAAAGTAGGCTGGGCAAACCATGAGGTGCAAGCCAGTAAGCAGCACCCCTCCATGGCCTCTGCATCAGCTCCTGCCTCCAGGATCCTGCCCTGTTTCAGTTCCTGTGCTGACTTCCTTGGATAACAAACAGTGATATTAAAGTGTAAGACAAAGAAAGCCTCTTCTTCCCGAGTTGCTTTGGTCATGGTGTTTCAGCACAGCATAGCAACTCTAATTGAGACACTGCCGAAACTCATGGCTTCTTGGTGTATGGAGCTGGGTTAAGCAGAGGGAATTCTGGGAAGGAAGATACAGTATCTCTTTAGAGGAATAATAATTCTACTTTTCTTCTTAGCACGACTTAAGATAAACCGACCTTCTTAGGGTAGATCCTTGGCCAGGTCATTGACATGCCCCAACTGGAACATTAGGTTTCCAACCAGGCCAGAGATTCTATTCTATTGACCAGAAGTTTTCTCTTAATGGGCCTTTATTACTCTAACAAAACTATTAGGTAGAAGAAAATGAGACTTAAAATGGTAAAGCCTATTCGGCTCCTTTTGCATAAGAGTGTAGAAAAACAAGCCTTGTCTATAGTGATAGGAAAACATTTCCATGGTCATCTGAGGCCAGAGTGCCTCTGGGATCAATGAAAAATACAAAGTGAACTTATTGAGTAGTGACAACATTCTATATCCTAATATGTGATGCTGTGATGTGACAGGGTATAATCTATGTGTCAAGTTTAAAGATTCAGATGGTTAAAACAAAACAAAACAAAAAAAACCCTTCATTTCCAGTTGTATCCCACACTCATGTTATAGGGATGATGGTAACACACTCATCAGATTTCTTTTCCTCCTTTCTTCCCTTTCCCCTTCTCCCTCTTCCTTTCCTTCTGTTTTTCATTTATTTTATTGAAAAAAGATCTCATGTATCCTGGGCTGGCCTTCAACCTCTAATCTTCCTGCCTCCGCATCCTCAGAGTTGGGATACAGGTGTATGCCATCACACCAGGCTTTACTTATCCAGTCTTTAAATGCTTTATTTCCTCTCTACCTCTTTTCATCATCCACACTGACAGCCAAGGACCTGATTCAGCGGAAGCAAAGGCATCCTACTCTAGAGAGAAATAGATTGTGAGATTATTTTTGTCACTCGGTGACCTAGTCCATTTGGATTATGCTAACACATTACTACAGTACAGGTGGCTTTGAAGTAACAGATTTTCAGTTCTGGCAGCTGGCAAGCCCAAGGTCCAGACAATGGTAGGCTTGGCTGGTGAGGGCTGCTTCCTGCCTCAGAGGCTGCTGCCCTCTCACCATGGTTTCCAGATACAGGGAGGGGGCTTTGTGAGTTCTCCTCTATAATGGCAAGGATAGCTATCACCCCACAGAATTTCCACCTCCTAGTATCTGAGTTTGAGGACTGGACCTCAACCTAATGAGCTGTGGGGGAAACATTCATTCAATTTACAGTACATTAGCTCATTTTATAATAGAAAACAATCCCCATGATTCAAAACCATATTTGGTACAGGTGGTGGCAAGTGTAGCTCATTTGGAGAGTGCTACCTAGGATGTAGGTGCCCTGGACTCCATTTACAGAGCAGAAAGAAGAATCTCAAAGGTATGTGAGGAGAAGGGAATGTCCACTACCAATAACATCCAACCTGTCCTGTCCTAGCTGCTAACCCTAGGGCAGTGGTTCTCAGCCTGTGGGGTGTGTCCACTCAGGGGGTCTCAGATCAGATATCCTTTATATTAGATATTTACTTTACAGAGCATAAGAGTAGCAAAATTAGTTATGAAGTAGCAAAGAAAATAATTTTATGGGTGGAGTCACCAGACATGAGCTGTATTAAAGGGTTGCAGCATTAGGAAGGCTGAGAACCACTATCTAGAGTTATAAAAAACATGTTTCCACCAAGGTTTATTTATGACTGTTTATGCCATATTTGTAACACTCAAATATAGACATCACAAGCACCTGTTACTATGTGGCAGGAGAAACAGAATCTATTGTAGGATACCATAGGACAGAATACAATGTTTTTTTTCTGCATAATACTAAAATGAGGAATTCTGTGTATTTGCACTGACCAGATATTGGCACACTGGATGCTAAAAAAAAAGATGTAGAAAAAAAAGTAAGGCCTGTACAGGAACCAATAACTGTGAAATTACCATCTTCTTCATTAATGTTAAAATGAACGCATTTACCTAGACTCCAAGAAACAGACAAAAGAGCAAATGCACAAAATCTACTTGTGTCACAATATTGTTCCTGTTTCCTATGCACTGGTTTGTATTTGAGACAAATAAGTGATGTGGAATGTTTTACTCAATTTTCTTCTTATACAAGAAGCATGGGCACCTTAATGGCATATTTTAGATATAAAATTAATGTAAAAATTAAAAACGGAACTTGATCCCATATTTTGAAGCAATGTGTACCGTTAAGAAAGCTGTTGTCAGAACTTATAGTTTTTGGGTTTTTTTTTTTAGATTTATTTACTTATTATGTATGCAGCATGTATGACTGCAGGCCAGAAGAGGGCACCAGATCTCCTTATGGATGGTTGAGAGCCACCATGTGGTTGCTGGGAATTGAACTCAGGACCTCTGGAACAGCAGTCAGTACTCTTAACCTCTGAGCCATCTCTCCAGCCCAGAACTTGTAGTTCTTAAAGGTATTTTAATGCTAGAGAAGGAAGTGTCTGAAAGTCTGGAATGGCGGTCACTGTGCTTCTTTGAAAGGAAAGGACAGTGGGACTAAGAGGACCTGGAGCCAGGAGAGTGAATAGAGGGCTCTGTGGGTGGTCCTTGGCTTGCATTAGACCCACACCAAATATCTGTCATCTAAACATTGAGACAAGATGTTTAGGAACAGCTGCACTGAGTGCTGATGTGAATCACATTAACATTACTTTCAATCTCAGGCACTTTTAACATTTCTTCTTTTAATCAAATTTAATTATTTTTATTTTCCTGCATTTCATTGAGCAGTAATTTGTATTTGACATTTGTTTTATACAAATTGTTTTAGATGTGATAAAACTAAACTTGGACAAAATGTACGTCTGAATCTAAACTTTATTAACTAAGAAGACTGAATGGAATTTTCTCCCGGTGCAGTAAAACCTCAATCAAGAAAAATCACTCCATTTTCATCACGTCTGGCTCTGAAGTTGCATCATGGCGTCCAGCATGAAGGTACAATATGGCAAATGAACCTAGCTTTCAGAGTCTCTGATTAAGATCCACCTAAGCACACGGCTCTAGGCTTTAAGTACACTTACAACAAGCTTGGTAAAACTGAACTGAGCTCAAGATTCAGCACTTCATGTGTTTTCTTAATTCTTGACCTCTGTTTTGGAAAAAGCCATACTGTTTTCTGTATATTGCCATCTGATGCCTCTTTCACACTATGTAGGGTAAACTGTGTCTGTGTTTGCCCCATAATATGTCTGCTAACCAAAATTTGCAGAATGTCTCAACAAAAACAATTTTTAATGCAAAGGACAAATGTTTACAAAAAAAATGTAGGAAGTAAGATTTCTTGCAAAGTAGAGGTCCTAGAAAACTGAGCATAAAAGATGGTACATGTAAAATGTTACCAATAAGAGTGATCTATAGTAATAACCCAAAGACAGGACATTTCAAAGTTACTAGGTACTAGTAACTTCAAGCCCTTTATGAAATCCTTTTCTCAGGATACTTCATGGAGCCTAATGACCCGTGTGTCCATCCCCAGAGCTTCTTTATCTTATCTGAATTCTTCTTCACGTCAATGAATAAAAACCCTAGGCATTTTCTGTGTTTTCATGCTGAGGCTAATCCAGGACCTTGTCCATGTGCTCTGCCACTAAGCTGCATCTCCAGGTCAGTCCACACTGGTGTTTATGTGCTGTGTTGAATAGAAATCTTTTCATTCTTATAGAGACAGCAAATGTTGATGACCTCTCCCCTCTCTCTGTCTCACAGAGGAAAAAACTCAGGGCCTTATGAATGCCAAGTACACACTCCACCACTGACTACACTTCTAGCCCCAATACTTTGATTTCTGTGTTACAAAGGGAGCAATACTTGGAGCAGAGATTATTTATATATTTATGGCTGTTATTCAGCTGGGTGAAATGTGAAAATTTAAAAGAATTTAGGAAACATTTTTCAATACAAACACTAAAAACAAAAACCATCTTGGCCTTCCTATTCTATCTCCCACAAATTACAGTCTTGGCAGACAATTTCTATCTAGTTCATTACAATATCTCTATAAGAATTTGTTACATTTTCTTTACTTAGTGTGTGTGTGTGTGTGTGTGTGTGTGTGTGTGTGTGTGTGTGTACCGTGGTGTGCATGCAGAGGTCAAAAGGACAACTTGCAGGAATTAGTTTCTCCTTTCCCCATGTCTGTGTCCCAGGAATCATCTCATGTTGAGGGGTGTGGTGGCCATCCCCATTACAATAGCTCTGACAAGATAGCAAACCCATGTTGAACACTCTTTCTTGAGTATGAATTCTTAACGGTCATCTCAAAAGAAGAGTAAGACTCCCACTGTGTATTATTTAATTAGGTAAAATTAAATATAAACATTTAACTGTGTTTCACAGGAATGATACATACTCACACTGATAATTGCACAGAAGCTAATTAGACACAACCATTTGTAAATATTCATTTAGAGAGGTAGAGAATTCAGAAAATCTCTTTCTGTGTGTGTTTGTGTGTGTGTGTGTGTATGTGTGTGTGTGTCTTCTTCAGTTGTTGCCCACCTTATTTTTTGAGACAGGGCCTCACCGTGCACCCTAAGCTCACTCATTAGACTAGACTGATCAGGCAATGACTCCAGGGATTCCCCCTGTCTCTGCCTCTCCAGGCTGGGACTACAGGTGCCCATCACCGAAAGAGTTTTTTTTTTTTCTTTAAATGTGGATTCTGGAGATGGAACTCGGGTCCTCATGCCTGTGCAGCAAGAACTCCACCATCGCCTCAGGCCACTCCTCAGACAGAACAGAAAGATCACTTCATAATTTTAATACTTGCAGGTTTATACTGGTGGGCAGTGTTGATGCACGCCTGTAATTCCAGCAGTCTGGAGGCTGTGGCAAGAAGACCTCAAGGTTAAGGCTGATGTCAGTAACAGAACATTCCAGGCCAGACAGGGGTGCATAACAAGACTTTGTCTCTGAATGAAGAGAAGAACACTGAAAAATGAAAGTGTACAAAGGACATTGGCTGTTCTGGGTAAGCCATTCAGTCAGTCACAAAGCCATGTAAGCTGCAGCAAGTGATGGCAGTCATTTTCATAACGGCTAGGACACCTGCAGAGCTAGCTAAACGATGGTTTCTCCTCTCTGGCACTCTCCAGAATTATAAAAATCAACAGATTGTTAGAGTAGTTCTGTGGATCAAAATTGTAAGCACTCCAAATGACTTGGCTAAGCCCTCTTGCACTTGTTAACTTAGAAATCTTAACTAACACATAGGGGTGAATGAGATGTTGTGCACAAAACCATTTTCGTTTTATACTAACATTCAAAAGACCATCTAGGGTTGGGGATTAGTTTCAGTCCCACTACAGATTCTAAAGTCTATGACTACTCAAATCCCATCAGTAAAACGCAGCATTACTTGCATACAATGAATACCTATCCATTCTTTCTCTGAAGTAAGTGCTAGATGATACCCATTCCCTCTCACAGTGCACACATGTGTGTGAATAGTTCATACTGCTACATAACAGCTGTTATGCTGCAACCGATACACAATAATGTATCTTACACAGGGAAAGTCCGTGCATGTCCAGTACAGATGCAATTAGTTGTCTCTAGAATAAGTTTGGATCTTCAGTTGTTTGGTCTTCAGTTTGATCTTTGGAAGAGGACTCTGAGGAAAAGGAAGTAGTGGGAGGTTTTGTAGTTGATGTGAGGTAGGTTGTAGTTGCTTTTTTTCCCATGAGATGGTCTACTGTAGTCTTGGTTGTTGCAAGGGCAGGACTTTTCCTCCTGGTGAGACGGCTCACCTGGGTAAAAGTACTCACCACACAAACTTACTCACCTGAGTTCAATCCTTGGACATGTCAGAAGGTGGAAAGAGAGAAACCACCTCAGAGTTGCCCTCTGACCTTCTTCACCTGAGCACTGTGGCATGCACACACCCCACTCAAGCACAACAATAAATAAACAACACACCACACCACCACAACAATAAATAAACGATGAAAATTTAAAAAGACATGACATATCTTCTCAGGGGACTAGCATGTTCACTTGTGAAAATGAATTGGCCATATATTCTTGGTCTCTTTTAGTCCCTTTGTAGTTCTGCAAAACATTTGCCAGCGGCTCATCCCTTTCCTCAGGAGGGCCTGTTGGGATTTGGATAGCAGGCTATGGAATCTGTGTGTCAATTGGTAGGACTCAGGAACACCCCTTGTAGGTCTCCATGTATGAATTAGTGATGTGACTTGATTCCATTATCTTCTTTATAAAATTCCCTTATTATTTTGTGTGTATGGGTATGTTGATGGTGTGTAGGTGTACCTCGTGATGGAGTGCCTGTGGAGGCCAGAAGAGGGCATCAGATATCCTGGAACTGAAGATACAAACAATTGTGAGCAGCCATGTGTGTAGGGAATGGAACCTGGATCCTCTGGAATAGCAGCCAATGCTCAGAGCCACTGCATGGATATGGTGTCCACACAGCAATCCAGGAGGTCCTCCTGCATCCTCAGCACTGAAACCTGCATGTGGCATCCCACACTGACAGTCAGGACTTCTGGCCAGTGAGATCAGAGTCACCTCCCCTTCCCAAGGACTAAGGAAAGTGTTAGGGTCCTAGAGAAGTCCCACAAAAGACCATCATATACGTATGCAATCAACAAGAGCATTTATTATCTTGACTGTAAAGGTACCAGCATGCTGGGGCCCCACATCTGACACAAAGGCAAAATGGCAACCCCAAGGGAAGCTTGCAGGTTCTTTTATACACAGCTAAAGGAATTCTAAAGGTAGTGAGGTCATTCTATCTAGGATTGGCTTATGCCAGTGGCAATCATATTAGTACATTCCTGGTTGGCTAAGGCTACAGTTTTTCCATTTTTGGACAAGCCTGGACAAGTCCCAGGCTCTGTTCTTATTGTGCTTATTCCCTTGCGCTACTGTGGGGCTGACTCAGGCCTGGAATGTGCAGTTCCCCTCTCCTTGCTGTCAGGTCTGTTTGTGATTGATTGCCCTTTGTATGTGGTTTCTTCAGAAATGCCTATTCAGTTTTCCTAGTGAGGCCTAGTTCTTAACTGAGTTATTAGCAGCCTGCCATGGTACTTGCCTGGCCTTCTCAGAAAGTACTGGAAAAAAGAAAAAACAACTCTTTTGAATGGAAAATTTAAAATAAGTTTCCACCAGTACCCAGGCAACCATATTTAATAAGAAAGAAAACTACAGGAAAAGCGATAGATATGGATGTCTTGTGTTTAAAACCTTAGGTAACTAGCTATTTTTAAAGTAAAACGTTGTGACAGAAACCCTACAAGAGAAATGGGCAGGTTTATAATATGCTTGCAAAATGACAGACAAGGGTGAACAGTCTCTCAGGGATGGTAATTGGACAAGCACACAGTTGAGCTCTGTGACAGAGTCAGACTGACAGGGAACCAGAACAGCTTCTTGATGTTATGGAGAGAGAATTCTTCTGGGGCAGCTTCTGAGCATCACTGATCTTAGTTTTAACAAGGAAAAAAAATCCACATTCTCAGCCCTTTAAAATCTTTGCAGAATTTGCTTTGGCTCTGATAGTGTTACTTCAAAAGCTATTTCCCTCTCTGAAGCCTCTTCACTCTGGAGTAGGGACTCAGTGTGTCATCCATCACAAAATCATACAGTACTTTGATCCAGGAGTAGTGATGGGGGAGTTTATCATAGTATTCAGCTACTATTTTCCTCACCTGGAAGTGAAAAAACAAAGGGAGTGTTACTGAGGCCTCAAGGTGACAGGTGAGGGTCTGACAGACAGAGGGACAAAATACCAACTCAGCCAAAGGGCAACACCCTTGCTCATGGTCCTTCAGACTCCCTGCAGTTCTTCATGAATAAAATCGACAGATCACATGCACATAAACAGCTCAGTATCAGAATCCACACTGGACTCTTATCAAAGCCAGTGGCAATCAGTTTAGCTTAGCAGATGGTACAGAGAAACACTGGGGTTCCAAAACTGTAAAATGACGGAGCCAGTCAGAGCCTGGATAAGCATTTGAGACATTTGTTAAGACTAAATGTACATTAGCAACCAGGATGACACAAAAGATGATAAATTATAAACATTAAAAGGATATAATATAAAACTTCAACTTTATGTATGGATTATAAGTTCTAGAGAATTTATTAGCCAGGTGACCAATACAAGGAAAATGCTAAGCCTGTTTAACAGTTGAAAGAGCAGTCACATAGCCCTCATATGCCCTTCACCAGTTTGAAGGTGCGACACAGTGACCTCTGACAGTCGCCCTCTGCAATGTCCTGCAGAAAACAAACCCACACTCTTGTTCTCTTGCTGAATGGCACATGCCTTTAATCCCAGCATTCAGGAGGCAGAGGCAGGCAGATCTCTGTGAGTTCGAGGCCAGCCTGGTCTATAAAGTGAGTTCCAGGATAGGCGCAAAACTACACAGAGAAACCCTGTCTCAAAAAAACAAAAAAAGAAAAAAAGAAAAAGAAATAATGAAACCTATTGGAATTCATGCCTGAGTTCTAGAAAACTTAACACTGGCATTTCATCCCTCAGTATCTCAACACGTGTTTCCAAAAGGTGTCACTCTATAAAGCAGAAAACACTTTTACTACAATACATTATACAAATCGGTACAAGGAAAAAAATGATAGTCCATGCCAGGGCATTGCAAATTGATGTCTATCTGATTTTCAGAACATTTATGCAGCATTTCAAGGTTCTAATGGACAAATCAACTAGCTCCAAATAATTCTGTACTGAAGTTTCACAAAGTAGTAATAGTATTTCGTGGACCAGTCCACCCTTCCTAACAAAGCCCGTCAGCATGATGGTGACGAAACCTCCTCAACCTGAGATTGCTGCTCACTCCATAGAAGGGTTTGTTTCCTAATTCTGAGTTTGTGGTGTTGGAATGAAAATGGAAGGATTAGGAGGTGTGGCCTTCTTGGAGAGCTGTGTCACCAGGGTGGGCTTTGAGGTTTCAAAAACCCATGCCAGGTCCAGTCTCATCAGCACCACGCCTGCCTGCCTTCTGCCATGCTCCCCTCCATGAAGATCATGGGCTAACCCTCTGAAACTGTAAGCCAGCCCCTAATTAAATGCTTTCTTTTATAGGTTGCCTTGGTCATGGTGTCTCTCCACAGCAGTAGAACAGACATTGAAACACTGAAACAGCTATTTACCGGATAACAGATTTTATACATCTCCCATTGCTTCTGGACCTCAATGCAACCACTAAATTTAAGGATCTAAAAGAGTGTACCCTGGGTAAAAACTAGCCTGTCAGGCGTTAGATGTGTATTACACTTTGATTTTCATTTTAGTGAGCTTTGGTTGATAAAATATGCTTGCTTCCTTTAAAATGATCAAGTAAAGACTAATTTGGATTATTCACCTATTAGAAATGAAAATATTTACCAAGTCCTTCACTTACCAGGGGCAGGTTTTTCCCAGGAATGTTCAGGAAGTCATGGTGTTCATTATGGTAGCCTACATTGAAGGTCAGGAAATTCAGAGGCCCATAATATGAGTATGTTTCATGTCCCTTTAGGAACATGCAATGGTCGGCTATAAACTGCCCAGAAATTGGGTGCAAACCCAGGCCAAGCAGGGAGGCTGCCAACATGTAGACTAAAGATTTAATTCCCAAAACATAGTAAACTATAATGTCAAAAGTGACCTGAGCCACAGCATTGATGATTTCCAGATGAGAAACTGGTTTTGGGTTGATAAATAGAGGTCGGAAAATCACAAAGAGAGGCTGAAATATAACCCAGGCCAGCTTCCTGAATGTGGTGCAGAAAAACCAGGTCTCAAAATCGGTAGGAATACCCACATCAAGGCCACCAACTCCGAGGTATCGATGGTGATCCATGTGGTATCTCTTAAAGGAAATCGAATATGGAACTCCCAAAGGGAGGTTAGCAAATATTCCAAACCATCTGTTCCACAGCGCCCTGTGGTGGCCAAATGGAAAATTGTGAGAAATCTCATGGATCCCCAGAGTCATTGAGTGGTTAATGGAACTACCAAAGACATAGGACCAAAATATGACCCATTTCCATTCTAGGTCTTTCACTAAGTAAAATGAAGCCAGCTGGATGAGAACCATCAGAGTTATGATCCAGATGAGGTTGGGGTCAGGTTTCATCAAGGATTTTATCTCTGGATATTTTGCTGTAAGAGAAGAAAATACAACAAGAATCATAAATGGGGATTAGTGTAAGTACAATTATAATCAATTATGTTGAAGTAAACGTGTTGAAGAAATTATACTTAAAGGAGTTGGGGAGATAGCTCGGGGGGTAAGAGCACTTGCTGTGTAAGTGTGAGGACCTGACTCAATTTCCAGTACTGAGGTCACTAACCATGCATGGCTTCCTGAGCCTGGAGTCATAACACTGATCTACTGGAGTCAGGAGGATCCCTGGGGCTTGCTGCTGGCCACCAGCCTAGCTCCAGGTTCAGGGAGAGACCCTGCCTCAAAGATTAAGGTGCAGAGTGATAGAGCAGGACAATCAATGACCTTCTTTGGACTCTGTGCAACTCCCCACCACGTGCACATACATGGCATACACACACAGACTCCACCCACATACACAAAATTACAGTGATGCTAATTCATTAATAACATTTTCTCAAAATCATAATATTCTTGTTATTAAAGGCATAACCAAATATTTCCACTCTACTAGGAAACAATATTTTGATAGCAAGTTCTAATATACTGTAACATAACAATTTGAGAATTTATTAAAAATCTGCAATGTCTATATCTTTTCTTCTTCTTCTTCCCTACCTGACTGACAGGGTTTCACAATGTAGTTCTGGCTGTCCTGGAACTTACAATGTAGACCAGGCTGGCATTGAACTCACAGAGTTCTGCCTGCCTCTGCCTCCTGAGTGCAGGGATTAAAGACATGTGCCACTACACCCAGGTGGAAAGTCTGTATCTTTTATATTATGTGTTCTAACTATGCTTTGACAGAGCTCTGGGAATCTTTACATTATTAACACATGTGACAAAGATTGGTCTATTTTTTTTTTTTTTTTTTTTTTTTTTGGTTTTTCGAGACAGGGTTTCTCTGTGTAGCTTTGCGCCTTTCCTGGATCTCGCGCTGTAGACCAGGCTGGCCTCGAACTCACAGAGATCCGCCTGCCTCTGCCTCCCGAGTGCTGGGATTAAAGGCGTGCGCCACCACCGCCCGGCAAGATTGGTCTATTTTAAGGTTCTAAAATATGAAACTTTTCTTCATGGTATCAAGAACAAACAATTCATCCCAAGCAATCTGTACTAAATTTTCAATAATTAGTAATATTTAACAAACTACAATAGTAGCTCAAGGGTGCCTGCATTTAAAATGAGCATATTCATGTAATGGTGATAGAACAACTAGTTATCAACATGTAGACTAATGAAGTGGACACCTTGTAGACTACTGAAGTGGACACCTTGTAGACTACTGAAATGGACACCTTGTAGACTAATGAAGTGGACACCTTGTAGACTAATGAAGTGGACATCTTATAGACTAGTGAAGTGGACACCTTGTAGACTAATGAAGTGGACACCTTATAGACTAGTGAAGTGGACACCTTGTAGACTAGTGAAGTGGACACCTTGTAGACTAATGAAGTGGACACCTTGTAGACTAATGAAGAGGACACCTTATAGACTAATGAAGTGGACACCTTGTAAACTACTGAAGAGGACACCTTATAAACTAATGAAGTGGGCACCGTGTAGACTAATGAAGATTACACCTTGTAGACTAATGAAGAGGACACCTTGTAGACTACTGAAGAGGACACCTTGTAGACTAATGAAGTGGACACCTTGTAGACTAGTGAAGTGGACACCTTGTATACTACTGAAGAGGACACCTTGTAGACTAATGAAGAGGACACCTTGTAGACTAATGAAGTGGACACCTTGTAGACTAATGAAATGGACACCTTGTAGACTAATGAAGTGGACACCTTGTAGACTAATGAAGAGGACACCTTGTAGACTAATGAAGAGGACACCTTGTAGACTAATGAAGTGGACACCTTGTAGACTACTGAAGTGAACCCCTTATAGACTAGCGAAGTGGACACCTTGTAGACTAATGAAGTGGAGACCTTGTAGACTACTGAAATGGACACCTTGTAGACTAGTGGAAGTGGACACCTTGTAGACTAGTGAAGTGGACACCTTATAGACTAATGAAATGGACACCTTATAAACTAATGAAATGGACACCTTGTAGACTAATGAAGTGGACACCTTGTAGACTAATGAAGAGGACACCTTGTAGACTAATGAAGTGGACACCTTGTAGACTAATGAAGAGGACACCTTGTAGACTAATGAAGTGGACACCTTTAGACTAATGAAGTAGACACCTTGGAGACTACTGAAGAGGACACCTTGTAGACTACTGAAGAGGACACCTGGTAGACTAATGAAGTGGACACCTTGTAGACTAATGAAGAGGACATCTTGTAGACTAATGAAGTGGACACCTTGTAGACTAGTGAAATGAACACTTTGTAGACTACTGAAGAGGACACCTTGTAGAATAATGAAGTGGACACCTTGTAGACTAATGAAGTGGACAACTTGTAGACTAATGAAGTGGAGACCTTGTAGACTACTGAAATGGACACCTTGTAGACTAGCGAAGTGGACACCTTGTAGACTACTGAAGAGGACACCTTGTAGACTAATGAAGTGGACACCTTGTAGACTAATGAAGTGGACACCTTGTAGACTAATGAAGTGGACACCTTGTAGACTAATGAAGTGGACACCTTGTAGACCAATGAAGTGGACACCTTGTATACTACTGAAGAGGACACCTTGTAGAATAATGAAGTGGACACCTTGTAGAATAATGAAGTGGACACCTTGTAGACTAATGAAGTGGACACCTTGTAGACCAATGAAGTGGACACCTTGTAGACTACTGAAGAGGACACCTTGTAGACTAATGAAGTGGACACCTTGTAGACTAATGTAGTGGACACCTTGTAGACTAGTGAAGTGGACACCTTGTATACTACTGAAGAGGACACCTTGTAGACTAATGAAGTGGACACCTTGTAGACTAATGAAGTGGACACCTTGTAGACTACTGAAGTGGACACCTTCCATTAAGCATGTACAACTATTAACAAAAATTATGTCAAAGACCTAACAATAAAAATCACAAAACTCAAAGGAAAATATTGACGTGAATGTTCATGTCCTCTGTGATTTCTTATGTATCCTACTCAAAGGTATTTGATTGGGGAAAAAGAGGAAATTCGACTGCATTAAAATCTTTTCTTCTGGAGGGGAAACTGTGGTTGGGATGTAAAAGAAAGAAATATAAAAGAAAACAAAAAACAAAAAAAAGTTTTCTTCTGCAAATGATGCCATTGAAAAAGTGAAGACTATTCAAAACAAAGGGAATCACATTTGCAAATATTCTATTTGATAAGAGAATTTTATGTAGAATATATAGGAACTTTTAAAGCTTGTACAAATAAGTAATAATCCAATTTTAAAACTGCAAAATGAGCCGGGCGGTGGTGGCACACACCTTTAATCCCAGGACTCGGGAGGCAGAGCCAGGTGGATCTCTGTGAGTTCGAGGCCAGCCTGGGCTACCAAGTGAGTTCCAGGAAAGGTGCAAAGCTACACGGAGAAACCCTGTCTCGAAAAAAAAAAAACCTGCAAAATGTGTGACTAGGTATTTCTCCAAAAAACACGTATGTGATTGCTGAATTGCTGATCTTGATTGTCAACTTGACTACCTCTGGAATTAACTAAAATCCAAGCAGCTGGGTATACTTGCGATAGATTTTTGTTGGTTGAATTATCTGAGGTGAAAGATCCATCCTAAATCTGGGCCAAAGTTTCTAGTAGCAGCCCGCATAAAAGGACTGGAAGGTTGATGTTTGTGGCCACATGGATGCCCAGGATCTGATCAGCTACCTGAGATCATACTGCTGTCCAAGAGCCATGCTACCACCTGGGCCATACTGCTCTGTGTGGCCTGCGCTGTCACCAGGGCCATGGTGACATCCAGGACTGAGCTGCTGCCAGGGGCCATGTCTGGGTCAGTGGTCCTGCTGCAGCTGGGATCTGTGTTGATCTCTGTTGCTCGTGTTACCACAGAGGGCCATAGGAACCATGAGTTTTGAAATCCAAGGGCAGTGCAGACCTGCACCTCCCTTCGCTGGCCCTGCCCCTCACTGGCCATTACAGCAGAAGAGCTGGCCCTATTTCTCTTGGGAGAGCTAGCCCAATTCCTCACCACAAGTGTGGAAGAGTGGGCCCAATGGTATGGACATAGAAGATAGGGCTCCAGTGGCCCAGACTGACAAATCAGCTTCCACCCAGACCCACATCCAGGGCTTTGAGTCTGCCCACCCCAACATCTACCCTATCTATGACCTGCCAGAGTGTGTGAAAGGACTGGTCCTGAAGAGCCATAGTGGCAAGATCTCCATGACTCGGGGCAACAGCAGGATATCTGAGAGGAGTTTTGGTGAGGGTCCGGTATTGATAGTGTACCAGAATCCAGAAGCCTTAACCAGACCAATGACTCATTGCAGTGAACAAGTGAGCAAGTAAAGCTGAGTAGACAAAAGGGTGTACTGCATGACACACCACAGCTCACAATGCCACTAAGATGAATGAAAAGGGGTTGGAGAGGCAGGAAAGATGGAGGAGAAAAATGGGTTTTTTTGTTAGTATGGTTGGTTGGTTGATTGGTTTTGTTTTTAATTAATACTTTTTAAATTTTCTTTGGGGGGGGGTGCTACCAGGGTAAGAAGAGGATATGGAGGGACTGAGAGCTGAGCAGGATTGATGTGCATGATATGACTGACTTTCCCAAAGAATCAATAATTATGTTGAAAAAGAAAAAAAAAAAAAACACAGAAGAAAGCTTTTGCTTTTTGCCTGCTTGCTCTCACTCTCCCTGGTAGTTCATCTCTCCTATTCCTGAGGCATTCTGTTGCTGGTGTTAGACCCTACCTCTTCAGGATTCCACTGTAGACTGAAGACCAGCAGCTCTTTAGGACTTCCCTGGGACTCCAGCAGTAGACTTTGACTGCTGAGACATCCAGTCTCTTGGACTGAACAACTAACTACCAGATCCTTGGTCCTTCCATCAGGAGACAGCCATTGTTGGACTACCCAGACCACAGCCTGTCAGCCACTCTAACAAACCCCTTTCTTTCCTTGCTACCCCTGTGCCAGGATGACTGACATGAGCAACTGTGCCTGGCTATAATGTAGGTGCTGGGGTCTGAATTCAGGTCATCATGCCTACAGGACAAGCACTGTATTGACTGAGCTATATCTCTAAGGCCGCTTCATTCTTATTTATCATAGCTTAATAATACATTATTGTATATACACACCACTCTTTCTTTATCCATGCTGCTCATTGATAGGCACCTCAGTCAATTCCATAACTTAGCTATTGTTACTGTTACAACACGTGACTGGGCAAGTTTCTCCTTTGTATGCTGACTTTACTCACTTTGGAAGTATAGCAGGAAGTGGGAGAGAAAATTATATGGTAGATCTATTTGTAAACTATTTGGGGGAAAATCGCTATTTTTTTAGAGTTAAGTTTTAGAAAAATCTATTCTGTTCTCCATAGTAACTATATAGTTTACCACCCAAACAGCAGTGCCTTTTCTCTGTTTATGTTTCTCTGATGGCTAAAGACATGGAGGAATTTTCCATATAATTGTCATTTGTATTTCATTTTTGAGAAGTGGCTCTTCAGATCATTAACTCCTTTCAAACTTGGATTAATTGTGAGTTTCATTGTTTTTAGAAATCCTTATGTATTCTGGATGTTAGCTTTCTGTCACATGACTAATTGGAAATATGTTCTTCCATCTGTACATTGTCTCTTCACACCTTTGCTGTTCCCTTTGCTCTGCAGAAGCTTGCAAGATTGGTAGAAGCCTGTTAATGAACCTGGCTTGTGTTTGCCTTTGGACTCTCTGCTCATTGCTGATATCTCCAAGTGTTCACCGCCCTGTGTTTAGTCCAGCAGGTTCAAGTCTTACATTCAACTACTTGGTGCATTTTGAGCTGACTTTTTTTTTTTTTCAAGACAGGGTTTCTCTGTATGTGATCCTGGCTGTCCTGGAACTCACTCTATAGAACAGGCTGGCCTCAAACTCACAGAGATACACCTGCCTCTGCCTCCTGCGTGCTGGCATTAAGGGCATGTGCCAGCTTGAGTTGACTTTTCTACACGTTGATAGGAGTAAAATTTCAGTGTAGCACATGTGGATCATTTTTGTGTGTCCTCTTAATTTTTCATCTATATTTTGCCATTTTTCATTCCTGAAGACTTTTACTTCATAACTAAAGATTATTCAGAGCAATTTAACTCATTTTTTTGAGATATGGTTTCTTTGTGTAGCCTTGGCTATACTGGAACTCACTCTGTAGACCAGGGCTGGCCTCAAACTCAGAAACCTACCTGCCTCTGCCCTCTGAGTGATGGGATTAAAGCGGTGCCCCCACCGCCCCTTGCTTTTTAACTTTTTAAAGATATTGTGGGGTGGGGATTGACTTCACATTTTTCTTTCTCAGCAATTTCTTTGGGGACACAGAAAAGATACAGATTTTAAAAGGATAAGTCTTTATGTCTCCCAGTTTGGTCTCAAACTTGAGGGGCCTTTGTAGTTCTCCTGCCTCAGCTCCCTGAGTAGTATACAGGAGTGCATCACCATGCTCAGCAAACAAACTAACTTTGGTATGTGTGTTTGTATCCTATGATGTTACTGAATTTGTTCTCAGTTGTGGTGTTTTGAATGAGAAGGCCTCCCATATCTCACATATTTGCATGCTTAGTCCCTAGTTGATGAACTGTTTGGAAAGATTAGGAGGTGTTTCCTTGTTGGAGGATTTGTGTTGCTGAGGGTGGGCTTTGAGGTTTGAAAAGCTCACACCAGGCACAGCCTCTCTCTCTCTCTCTCTCTCTCTCTCTCTCTCTCTCTCTCTCTCTCTCTCTCTCTCTCTCTCTCTCTCCTGCCTGCAGTTCTCAGCTGCTGCTCTAGTACAATGTCTGACTGCACACCACCATGCTTCCCACCATGATGGTAGTAGACTAGCCCTCTGAAACTGTAAGCAAGCCCCCAGTTAAATGCTTTCTTTTATGAGAGTTGCCTTGGGTAACTCTCCAGTCTAGCAATGCTCACTCTTATCTGCCACACACCTTTGATCCCAGCACTTGGAAGGCAGAGGCAGGCAGATCTCTGTGTGTTCTAGGCCAGCCACATCTATAAAGTGAATTCTAGGACATCCAGGACTACACAGAGAAACCCTGTCTCAAAACAAAAAACAAAAAACCAACAAAAATCTATAATCTCTTCAATTTCCTCTTATGAAGAAACTTAACAGAAGATTCACAAGTATGCTATCATGTCAATGTAATTTAAGCAAATATCCTGATTTTCTTGCCTAAGGCCATTCTATCTCTGTCTCCAGAAACGCACACTGAGCAGCATTTGTGCCTCTTGGAAAATGGTATAATATTCGTTGAGATTCGGGTGAGATGGTTTAATGCTAAGTTTGTATGGAGGCTCCCTGTTGGGACAAACATCAATTACAGTTTCTCATTTCTTTAATTTTCTGACTATTGATGAGATCATGAATCCCAGTGTTTGAGGGTGGGTTTTCTTTTTTTCTTTTTTTTTTTTTGTTTTTTTTTTTGTTTTTCAAGACAGGGTCAGTTTTCTTAAAGTGGATATCACATTATTATTATGCAATATGTAGATAAGCATAGATAAGGTTACCACATGCCTTCTCATATCAAGTATGCAGAAACGATTTGCAAAATGAGAGAGAGAGCATGCAAGAACCAAGTCTCCCTGCCCACAAGGTCTCCTGGGACTCTGTGTAAACAAACTGGCCTGGAACTCACAAAGCCCCACCTGGCTCTAACTCTGGATGCTGGGATTCAGGTGGCTCCCATCTCAGCTGGCGAGCCCAAAGTCTTTCAAGGGCTTCCCTTAATGCGCACCTTAAAGTTCCTCTCACCATCAGTAATTGAGTTGTTAAACCTGATTTCAGTGTCACTACTAAGTCATTCATGAAATAAGGAATTTCTAACTTTAGATACTCATGAAAACTAGGGCCTTGTCTTTTCATTGGAAAAATGGACGTCAAGAGAAAGCGAACTGTTGTGTATAGCAGAGATCTCCGGGGGTTGGGGGTGTGCCACAGTGTAGAGCTGCTGTGTGAGACCCTGGGTTTGGTCCCCAGCACTGGAGGAAGGGCTCCTCACATTCACCCCCTCCCATTCGCGTCCTTGGTTTAAACAGAACAGGTTAGAAGCATGCTCTTTGCAGACAGTCTAACCCAGGTTACATCCTCCTCCTAGCGCCGATCTCCTTCACTCTCACTGCATCTTCTAAAAGGCAGAAAAGGCAGAACACTGGAATGAGGAGAAGTTAGGCAATGTCAGAGAGAACCCAACTCAAAAGGCTGGTGGGTCATGAAGGGCGGCCTGGGAGAGAAGAGAGAATTCCCTGGGAACACGGAAGGGCCCTGTAAACTCTAGAGTTGTGAGACCTGGTTAGTCTGTGTTAAAGCCCAAAACAACTGTCAGGACAAGCCAGGTATTTTTGTATTTATCTGGTCATCTGTGTTTCAGTTTCCTCACCCTGACAACCAAAAAGGATGAGAATTGTCTAGGAACTTCCCTTGGTATCCCAGGTTTGTGGTGGATTCACAAAGACAGGAGATGTGAGCACACCAGGACCTGTCCTCTCCAACAGGCCCTGGGTCCCAGGGTAGTGCTGCCCCTCACTGGGACCTACATGCATTGTACATCGTGTGTACTTGGCTCCAGGGACCCCAGGATCTCCCAGGACCACTTCCTGAGCCTCACACTCCAGTGGCGGGCTATTTAGAGAAACCACTGCCCACTGGACGTCCTAAGAGTCTCCTAGTTAGTGGATAAGGCCTGGGATGTCTCAGTCTGGAGATCCTTAACCTGAATCAGCAGGTTGGGCTGAGGGTGCTCAAGCTCAGGGACTGGCCCCTGCCTCTTCACCAAGCAGGCAGTTCATCTTGAGGATCTGTGAAGTCCCATGCATCCCCAAGCTGTGAGCACCCTGAGCCTAGCCCAGGTCTCTCCTTCTGTTGGGGGCATGAGCAGTAGCCACACACTCTGGAGCATATGCTCAAGATCTCACCCAGAATCTCTCTGCTCCTCTGTGCATGTGGTTCATCCGTGTCGACCCACTCAAAATCTTCCCGAGAAACGCGGCTCCCCATGGCTGGGCCTGGACTTCTCTGGGTTCTGCACCACGTCCAACCTCTTGAAAGCAAAGGAGGTAGAGGATGTTACAAGCTCTGGTGTGCAGGTGCCTGAGCAAGGCTGAGTAAAGTAACAGAGGGGCAGAGCCTAGCTTGCCCCGCCCACTCTCCCCAGTCACAGCCCTCTGGCTCCTAGCTCTGGGGCCAGACTAGGAAGAGGTGGTTAGCTATGAGGTTCTGTGGCTTGTGATCACCTGTGGGATTCAGCTCCTGCTCTCCTGCAGGTGTCCAGTGTCAGCCCCTCATTCTCAGACAAGATGAAAAAGGAAGGAAATGTCTCTGAGTAGACAAGGCTGCTGCACAGAACCTCCTGGAACTGAGGATCCTGAAGGGTTGCTGCAACTTCACCAAGTCAGGAGGATCCCCGCTTTAATACATGGCAGCAGCCCAAGCTGTGTATTTAGTTTCCAAAGTAAATGATCAGCAGACCGTGTGTGTCGGCTTCTAAATGTAAAGCTTCTCCTGCCCAGAAGGAAAACGCAGGCTGTGTGACGCTGAAAAGCCACTGAACAAAATGGAAACATGATTTTTGTGAGAGGGAAAGCTGACATGGAATCTGTCCTTCCAATGCATGCATTTCTGTAACTAGCATCTCTCACAAAGGTCATGGAGATCTTCAGGAGGGGACATTCTTTTTCTAAAATAACTACCACTTCTGTGTCCAAACAATTAACTAGGACTAGGGTTACAGAAGGACAGGCAGCGTAGTTCCAAGTAAAAGGACATACCAAACTACACACTGCCCATGCCACACCACACACCCAGAGAACACAGAGATGCTGTCAGCCTGAGACATCCATAGGGAGCACTACCCTACACTGACCTGGGATCTTCAATAATTATGGTTCAAGGAACATAAACAAAGGGTAGCCTAAGAATTAAAGGCTGTCTAAAAGATGTATAACCAACTTCAATATGCTTGTCTTATTAAGATTCAGATGCAAAGATGCATACTTTTGAAAACTGATTTGGCATTTAATTTAGATAGGTGAGGTGTTAGGAAATTAGTGCTAAAAAGTTCACTAGAGAACTGGGCAGTGGTGGTGTATGTCTCTAATCCCAGCACTTGGGAGGCATGAGCAGGCAGATCTCAGTGAGTTCAAGGCCAGCCTGGTCTACAAAGCTAGTTCTAGGACATTGAAGGCTACCTTGTCTTGAAAACCAAAAAGAAAAAGAAAGGAAGAAAGGAAGAGAAGAAGAAGAAGAAGAAGAAGAAGAAGAAGAAGAAGAAGAAGAAGAAGAAGAAGAAGAAGAAGAAGTAGTTGTTGTTTAGTGGGGATATAGTATTATGGTTATAGTTTCTCAAAAGAGTTCTTATCCTTTAGAAGCAAGTACCAGATAAATGCCAGGGAAAAGTATATAGTTATGCTCTACTACTGATATAAGCTACAGTTCTTGGTGTATTGATATGAAATGGTCTCCAACGCATATGTTAAATGTAAAGCAGTAGGTATAAAGAGAATGGTGAGTGTACACAATAAATGTACTTGCTTCATTGCATATGCAAAAAATATGCAAGACATCCAAGAAGTGACTACATTGTGCCAGAGTAAGTAGGAGAGAGGATGAGAAGGGAATATTTCCCCACTGTGTCTAACAATGACCCTCCTGTCACTCCCCCCAGGGTACTGTGATTTCAGTGTGTACCACATTGCCAAGGCACCAGTAACTGTAAAGCAATTTCCCAGGAATATTTACTATTTGTTTTCTTAAAACCTGCAAAAGTTCTTCTTCAGTTACTTCCAAGTCCCCTCCTCAAAGCTGTGTTTTCCTCACGGACTGAGTGAAGGTTCAGCCCACCGAGGATCTCTGCACAACAGTGCTCCCCACCCTGGGCTGTGCGGGGTGGGAGCACGTGAGCACCCTGAGCACTCTACTTGTGCACTGCATAAGGAGTAGCAGCTTTCCCCCAACCCCTCCCCGTGTCTCCAGTCAGACTTAGACTTTTCATTTGCTGTCAGCGCCCCTGATTCACACCAAGCCTGGAGCCTGCTGGTAACATAAACTGCTGCCTGCTTAGGCCATGTTCTTCATTCCCTCTCGATATCAGAGTCTATGTCCTAAGCTGGCCTTTCCTGACTGCTCAAGAGCTTTTCAGACCCGACTCGCTTCTGTCACATTTAGATTTTGTAAATGTAGACTCTAGGGAAGGGTAAGGAGAAAAATGATTCGGATTATAACGTAGTTTTTTTAAAAGCAGTGTTTGACATTCTAAGAAAAGTACTTGAGCTATAGAATGATTATGAGAGGGACCCTCGTTTTAGCTACATCCAGGTCTGCAGTTTCAGAACCTCTCACTGTGGTGTGAGAACAGAAAAGTCACCTAAGAGAAGCACAGGCCAAATGCTTTGGGCTTTGAAATGGCCTGAATCTCTTATCTAGCTTTCATATCTTTTATTATTCTTGGCAAGAGATTTTCAATACGTGATTACCCAGTGTTCTGTGAAAGTCCTGGAAGTCTGCACAGCCCCTGATGGTGCTGGGTATCAGGAGAAACAAGGGTTTTCCTCCACACCAACTTCCCCCTTCCCATTCTCTAATTAGTTAGCTAGTTTGTTCTGGTTTCTGTATTTGAGACAGTGTCCCTCTGTAGTTCATGCTGCTCTCCCATCTGAGATGCTCATTCTCAGCTTGGGATTGCAGGTACATGCAAACACATGCAGCTACCATTTAATTTTTGAACAGGCATTTGAATAATCATTCAGCTGAACTCTTAGAATGACCTGAAAAGATTTGGGCCTGTGAGATGCTATGTCAATGTTAATTCACAAAAGAAAAAATACAGTAAGCCTTCCTCACTCTAAACAAACTTTGATCATAACATCTACTTCTGGATATCAAGTGGGCACTACACCCTGTCAGTAAGTTTTTGTCTGTAAATATCTGATTATTTTGTTGTTGTTGATGTTACTGTTGTGCTTTTGGATTAGTAATGACCAGATGCATTTGCAGTTAAAACTGTCCCACACGTGGCTATAACTAGAGCAGGACTGACACGAGGCTAGCACTCTACCTCACCCTCTGTCCTCTGTCCTTCAGGCCTCCCTCGGATTTGCTGTTCCTGCCCAGTATTAGAGGCCTTTGTGCCATTTAGAGCTGGCATCTTTAGTCCCACAGGTTCTGCGGTCTCAGAGTCTACTCCCCTGAGCTGCCTCTCCTGGTGTCCCTTTTCTTGCAGTACACAGCCTTCCCAGGGCTCTGGGTCTCCCTCTTTCATAGGGATGACCTCCATCAGTCGACATGCTTACTCAGTTCTGTGGGGTTCTGTGGGATTCTGTGGGTTTGTCCTCACATCTCTGGTTTGGATACCTCAGTTCCCAGTTGCCAATCTACTGCTTAAGTGACATGTCACAAGCAGGGCCACCCTGAGATGCTGGGCTGTCTGGTTATCCCATGAAAGCCAGATGGTTCCTCATGCTTTCTTTTTCCTTCTCAACTCAGCTCAAGAACAAAAGTGGACTGTAGGGGAACTTACATCGTGACCTCAACAGAAACAGGAAAAAGTGTATTAAGACCAATTTAGCAACAGTTTTGAAGACAATCCAATGAAACCTACTAGTCAGAATGAAAGATAAATAGGTGGGAAATTAGCAAACAAAATCACTCCACTCTGTGCTTTTATAGAGCAGCAGCAACTGTTTCAAAGTACAATTAAATTGAACAAAACAACTATGAGAACATAAAAATGCACCTAGAAACACCTAGCCAAAGATTTCAAGGTCTTTAAGATCAAAGGTCAACCATCTGGTGAGAGGTATACAGGGGAGTGAACCAGGGCTTGTGGGTGACAAGCACACACCACCACCCAGCACCAAACTCCATCCAATAACATAAGCTCTTTGTAAAAGACACTAAGGACTTGAATGCATCATGCAATAGACCATACTAATAGACCGGGAGGCTAAATTCCATAAAAATATCAGTTCTCCCATTCAGCTAGTTGATCTACAGATTCAAACTGATTCTAACCAAACTTGCAAGTAGAATTTTGTTGGAAATTGATCAGATGCTCTTTAAATTTACATGGAAGAGTAACATCAAGATGAAGACACACCAAGATAACTGCAAAAGAAGGAAAGTGACTTTGCCAGAGATTGTAAATTCTTATACAGCTCTAATAGGTCATTTATAGAATATCATGGCTACTTCTGGATGCAGTAACAAATTACCAGAGACTTGGTGGGTTACCAAAATGTAAACATATCCCTATAATTCACAGGCAGGCCAGTGAACAGCCTTGGCACAGGCATCTTCACTGTCTGGTGAGCTCTCTCTTCCTAATTCACAGAGAACATCTTTTCACAGTGTCCTCATGGTAGAAGTAGAAGGAAGCTCCCATGTGTCTCTTTTATAAGGGCTTTAACCCTATGTATGAAATCCCTACTCTCACTTCTCCAGGGCCCTGCCTAGAAATACCATAACACTGATATGTAACCGATGAATTTTAGAGTAGACACTTACTCTGTAGGAGACAGAATATATATTATTAACATATGAAGAAAGGTCATAATAATGGGGCAGAATAGAGGTTCCAGAAAGAAATGCTATGAGTATGAGTACCTTAAGATGAGTGAGAAAGAAAGAGTTTTAAGTGAGATGAACCCACTCCACTGGACACTAACATGGTTCAGGTGGATTATGGCTAAAATGTGGAGGCTGAAACTAAGTTATTTTTAAACTTAGGAGACATATAGTTTATTACATTTAGGGAGGATTTATTAAAGACAAAAAGCATAAACCATCATGGAAATACATTGGTCACTAAGAGTATAGGTCAGTGGTCAGGGGCATGTTTAGTTTGAGTCCTGAGGCCCAGCCCTGGAACCACAGACCAAGAGTGAAAAAGAGACCAGTTAAGATCTGTTTATCACAAGACAAGAGTGGAAAGTCAAGCCAAGAGAAAAGGACTGCAGTGCAAATGATCAAGAAAGGATTCTGATGTAAATACAAGGAGGACTCTAAGGACACTCAGTGGGAAGGGAGGGGAGACAGGAAACAAAGGACTTATCAGCACAAGAAGCACTAGTGGCCTCTCAGTCAGGGTCTAATGAGGAGGAACACACACTTTCACATCTTGGTAACAAAGGGATTCTATTGTGATAGACTGGTTACACAGATAGTACAAAGTTCAGGGTAACGTGGACGAGGAAGACACTGTCCCTCACTTGGACAGCAGAACCACCCAGGGCCTGTCCTGGAGCCCAAACTATAGCAAGTGGGACCTGAAGCAAAAAAAGAAGGGACAGTACATTAGCTCATTTTAAAATAGAAAACAATCCCCATGATTCAAAACCATATTTGGTACAGGTGGTGGCAAGTGTAGCTCATTTGGAGAGTGCTACCTAGGATGTAGGTGCCCTGGGCTCCATTTACAGAGCAGAAGGAAGAATCCCAAAGATATGTGAGGAGAAGGGAATGTCCACTACCAATCGCATCCAACCTGTCCTGTCCTAGCTGCTAACCCTAGGGCAGTGGTTCTCAGCCTGTGGGGTGTGTCCACTCGGGGTCTCAGATCAGATATACTTTATATTAGATATTTACTTTATAGGTCATAGAGTAGCAAAATGAGTTCTGAAGTAGCAAATAAAATAATTTTATGGGTGGAGTCACCAGACATGAGCTGTATCAAAGGGTTGCAGCATTAGGAGGTTGAAAACCACTATCTAGAGTTATAAAACATGTTTCCACCAAGGTTTATTTATGACTGTTTATGCCATTTTGTAACACTCAAATATAGACATCACCAGTACCTGTTACTATGTATTAGGAGAAACAATCTATTGTAGGATACCATAGGACAGAATACAATGTTTTTTTTCTGCATAATACTAAAATGAGGAATTCTGTGTATTTGCACTGACCAGATATTGGCACACTGGATGCTAAAAAAAAAAAAGATGTAGAAAAAAAAGTAAGGCCTGTACAGGAACCAATAACTGTGAAATTTCCATCTTCTTCATTAATGTTAAAATGAACGCATTTACCTAGACTCCAAGAAACAGACAAAAGAGCAAATGCACAAAATCTACTTGTGTCACAATATTGTTCCTGTTTCCTATGCACTGGTTTGTATTTGAGACAAATAAGTGATGTGGAATGTTTTACTCAATTTTCTTCTTATACAAGGCTGCTGTGGATATCGCTCTGTATAAATAAACACTGATTGGCCAGTGGCCAGGGAGAAAGTATAGGCGGGACTAACAGAGAGGAGAAAAGAGGAAACAGAAAGGAGGAGACCTGCCAGCTGCCACCATGACAAGCAAGATGTAAGGTACCGGTAAGCCACGAGCCACGTGGCAACTTATAGATTAATAGAAATGAGTTTATTTAAGATATAAGAACAGTTAGCAAGAAGTCTGCCACAGCCATGCAGTTTATAAATAATATAAGGGTCTGAGTGATTATTTTATACATGCGTTGTGGGACTGCAGGGGCTTGGTGGGACCTGGAGAGAAGCACTCCAGCTACAATGGGCACCTTAATGACATATTTTAGATATAAAATTAATGTAAAAAATTTAAATGTAACTTGATCCCACATTTTGAAGCAATGTGTACCATTAAGAAGGCTGTTGTCAGAACTTGTAGTTTTTAAAGGTATTTTAATGCTAGAGAAGGAAGTGTCTGAAAGTCTGGAATGGCCGTCACTGTGCTTCTTTGAAAGGAAAGGACAGTGGGACTAAGAGGACCTGGAGCCAGAAGAGTAAATAGAGGGCTCTGTGGGTGGTCCTTGGCTTGCATTAGACCCACACCAAATATCTGTCATCTAAACATTGAGACAAGATGTTTAGGAACAGCTGCACTGAGTGCTGATGTGAATCACATTAACATTACTTTCAATCTCAGGCACTTTTAACATTTCTTCTTTTAATCAAATTTAATTATTTTTATTTTCCTGCATTCATTGAGAAGTAATTTGTATTTGACATTTGTTTTATACAAATTGTTTTAGATGTGATAAGACTAAACTTGGACAAATTGTATATCTGAATCTAAGCTTTATTAACTAAGAAGCCTGAATGGAATTTTCTCCCGGTGCAGTAAAACCTCAATCAAGAAAAAATCACTCCATTTTCATCACGTCTGGCTCTGAAGTTGCATCATGGCATCCAGCATGAAGGTACAATATGGCAAATGAACCTAGCTTTCAGAGTCCCTGATTAAGATCCACCTAAGCACATGGCTCTAGGCTTTAAGTACACTTACAACAAGCTTGGTAAAACTGAACTGAGCTCAAGATTCAGCACTTCATGTGTTTTCTTAATTCTTGACCTCTGTTTTGGAAAAAGCCATACTGTTTTCTGTATATTGCCATCTGATGCCTCTTTCACACTATGTAGGGTAAACTGTGTCTGTGTTTGCCCCATAATATGTCTGCTAACCAAAATTTGCAGAATGTGTCAACAAAAACAATTTTTAATGCAAACGACAAATGTTTACAAAAAAAAATATAGGAAGTAAGATTTCTTGCAAAGTAGAGGTCCTAGAAAACTGAGCATAGAGATGGTACATGTAAAATATCACCAATAAGAGTGATCTATGGTAATAACCCAAAGTCAGGACATTTCAAAGTTACTAGGTACTAGTAACTTCCAAGCCCTTTATGGAATCATTTTGTCAGGATGCATCATGGAGCCTAATGACCCGTGTGTCCATCCTCAGGGCTTCTTTATCTTATCTGAATTCATCTTCACTTCAGTGAATAATAAACCATGGGTATTTTCTGTGTTTTCATGCTGGGACTAATCCAGGACCTTGTCCATGCTGAGCATGTGCTCTGCCACTAAGCTGCATCTCCAGGTCAGTCCACACTGGTGTTTATGTGCTGTGTTGAATAGAAATCTTTTCATTCTTATAGAGACAGCAAATGTTGATGACCTCTCCCTGTAACAAGAATCTTAAAAGGACTTATAATAATAATAAAAAGAAAAACCCAGAGCCAGATGTAGCTAAAGTTTTCCTGCCTGGCCCACAGTCAGGACAAATCTCTCTCACCTGCCAGTCCCACAGCCGTCAGACCCAACCAAGTAAACACAGAGACTTATATTGGTTACAAACTGTATGGCCGTGGCAGGCTTCTTGCTAACTGTTCTTACAGCTTAAATTAATCCATTTTCATTAATCTATACCTTGCCACGTGGCTCGTGGCTTACCGGCATCTTCACATGCTGTTTGTCATCGTGGCGGCTGGCAGTGTCTCTCTGACTCAGCCTTCCACTTCCCAGCTCTATTCTCCTACTTGTCCCGCCTATACTTCCTGCCTGGCCACGAGCCAATCAGTGATTTATTTATTGACCAATCAGCAACACATTTGACATACAGACCATCCCACAGCAGCCAGATATTGGTAAAGCTGAAAGATCAGAGAAACACAACAAGCCAGCCATGTTCTTACCTCTACAAAAACCTCAGCCTGAAGAGCCAGTGTTCCTGTTTCCTCCTGCCTTATATATCCTTCTGTGTCCTGCCACATTGCTTCCTGGGATTAAAGGCATGTGTCCTTCCCAAGCAAAGTCATGAGATCTCAAGTGCTGGGATTAAAGGTGTGTGTCACCACACCTGACTCTGTTCCCAGTGTGGCCTTGAACTCACAGAGATCAGACAGATCTCAGCCTCCCAAGTGATAGGATTAAAGGCGTGTGCCACCACTGTCTGAATTCTATGCCTAATCTAGTGGCTGGATTTTTCCTCTGATCCCCAGATAAGCTTTATTGGGGTACACAATATATTAGCACATCTCCCCTCTCTCTTTCTCACAAGAGAATAAACCCAGGGCCTTATGAATGCCAAGTACACACTCCACCACTGAACTACATCTCTAGCCCCAATACTTTGATTTCTGTGTTACAAAGGGAGCAATACTTGGAGCAGAGATTATTTATATATTTATGGCTGTTATTCAGTTGGGTGAAATGTGAAAATTTAAAAGAATTTAGGAAACATTTTTCAATACAAACACTAAAAACAACATAAACCATCTTGGCCTTCCTATTCTATCTCCCACAAATTACAGTCTTGGCAGACAATTTCTATCTAGTTCATTACAGTATCTCTGTAAGAATTCGTTACATTTTCTTTACTGTGTGTGTGTGTACCGTGGTGTGCATGCAGAGGTCAAAAGGACAACTTGCAGGAATTGGTTTCTCCTTTCCCCATGTCTGTGTCCCCATCTCATGTTGAGGGGTGTGGTGGCCATCCCCATTACAATAGCTCTGACAAGATAGCAAATACATGTTGAACACTCTTTCTTGAGTATGAATTCTTAACGGTCATCTCAAAAGAAGAGTAAGACTCCCACTGTGTATTATTTAATTAGGTAAAATTAAATATAAACATTTAACTGTGTTTCACAGGAATGATACATACTCACACTGATAATTGCACAGAAGCTAATTAGACACAACCATTTGTAAATATTCATTTAGAGAGGTAGAGAATTCAAACAATCTCTCTCTCTCTCTCTCTCTCTCTCTCTCTCTCTCTCTCTCTCTCTCTCTCTCTGTGTCAGTGTTGCGTGTGTGTGTGTGTGTGTGTGTGTGTGTGTGTGTGGTGTGTGCATGAGTGTCTTCTTCAGTTGTTGCCCACCTTATTTTTTGAGACAGGGCCTCACCCTGCACCCTAAGCTCACTCATTAGACTAGACTGTTCAGGCAATGGCTCCAGGGATTCCCCCTGTCTCTGCCTCTCCAGGCTGGGATTACAGGTGCCCATCACCGAAAGAGTTTTTATTTTTTATTCTTTAAATGTGGATTCTGGGGATGGAACTCGGGTCCTCATGCCTGTGCAGCAAGAATTTCACCAACTGTACCATCACCTCAGGCCACTCCTCAGACAGAACAGAAAGATCACTTCATAATTTTAATACTTGCAGGTTTATACTGGTGGGCAGTGTTGATGCACGCCTGTAATTCCAGCAGTCTGGAGGCTGTGGCAAGAAGACCTCAAGGTTAAGGCTGATGTCAGTAACAGAACATTCCAGGCCAGACAGGGGTGCATAACAAGACTTTGTCTCTGAATGAAGAGAAGAACACTGAAAAATGAAAGTGTACAAAGGACATTGGCTGTTCTGGGTAAGCCATTCTGTTTTCTGTTTCTCTGACAAAGCAGATAGGGACCGGGAACTACATACTTCAAAAATTTCAATTTAATGGTTGTGAGGAGGGAGTGTGCCCCTGTATGAATGTCATGAGCACAGCCATGTCAAGGACCCCAGTGCCTAAGACCCAAGGACATGCAAGGCCTTCCCTGACCCAGTTATGTGCTGACAGTGTCAACCCTGCATCCTCCTCCTGGGTGACTGATGCTGAGACTGCTCCTCTACAGAGACCCCTGTTAAGATTAGGCAGCTTGCCTTCTTGGTCAGCAGTCTACAGTGAGCACAGAGTCTCCAGGCTGCTGGTGCGTCTCTGTCTGGACACTCAAGCTTCCCAAACCCAGCTTCTCTGCACATGTGTGTGTCATTTCTTCATTCTGTGTCCCCCCGGGCAGTCAGTCACAAAGCCATGTAAGCTGCAGCAAGTGGTGGCAGTCGTTTTCATAACGGCTAGGACACCTGCAGAGCTAGCTAAACGATGGTTTCTCCTCTCTGGCACTCTCCAGAATTATAAAAATCAACAGACTGTTAGAGTTGTTCTGTGGATCACAATTGTAAGCACTCCAAATGTCTCGGCTAAGCCCTCTTGCACTTGTTAACTTAGAAATCTTAACTAACACATAGGGGTGAATGAGACGTTGTGCACAAAAGTACTTGGTAAAGACCAAGTAAGCAAATCCTTGTAAAAGCTCCTTTATTTGGTGCTAGAAGATGCTTTTTTATTGTTTCTATTTTTCAAGATAGGATTTCACTGTGTAACAGCCTTGGCTGTCCTGGAACTTGCTCTGTAGACCAGGGTGGTCTCAAACTCTATAGATTACCTGCCTCTGCCTCCCAAGTGCTGGGATGAGAGGTATACTTCACCACCATCGCGGCTGGATAATTCTTGTAAATAGAGATTTCTTTGATGCCCCTGCTTCCAGTGACTTGAGGCTAAAGGATTTGCAGAATAGTTTGCCTAGACAGAAAATACCAGTGCTGCCCAGGAGGTGGTGCTCAGAAGTCAGGGAGGTCCTGGAAGGATGGAGGGTTGGAGCCCTGGGGAAAGTTCCACCCAGCATCAGGATTGATTTCCTGCCCACAACTACACCATAACCCCTTCCTGCCTGGTAAAAGTTTCTCACATACTTGAGCTATGGTCTGAACATGGAAACTGAGATACCAAAGTCCCCTCTATTTCCCTCAGGCAGACATTAAGTAAACCACTAATTTCTGTCTCCACAGTTTTCAGTAAAGCAGCATGTAGTGTGTTCTTAGCTTTCCCAGCACAGGGAGTCCACATGTAGTTAAGCGTGACGGGCCTGTTCCTCTGCAGTGATGAGAGCACACCCCAGGATGGGGGAGGAGAAGTCTCTGTGACCTGGTGTCAGAAAGGACGAAAAGTACTTTGGGTTTGGTCAGCTGTAGGGAGGGCTGAACATGGCCTGGTTCTGAGGTGTTGCCAGATAGTGAGTGAGAGTCTGGATTTGTGGTCCTGAAGGAGCTTTGTGAGGCCCAGCAGAGACCAGCAGGACCTGGGCTGTGTGGGGAGGACACAGGGTTGCTCCTATCAGCCATTTCTTTGTCTTAGATATATCCATGCTAGGGCTGTGTTAGACATTGCAGAGCTGCCTTGTCTGGTGGCCAGGTGCTGTGGAATTACACATGTTTGGTTTTAAAAGCAGCTTCAGTAGCTTGTGGTTCAGATTGTCATCAGTTCTTGGCATCTGTGTGTTAAACACAAGAGGGATTTTGCAGTTCTTTTGACTTCATTGCCTACTATGCTTAGGATCTGGGTGCATGCTGTACTCAGACATAGGCCCCCAATCTACATTCCTATTCAGGAGGGGAAGGAACCACAGCCAGCCTTCCCTGCTGCCCATCTCTTCCTCATCATCTGGGGATGGGGAGTCTCTTAGAACTGCTCACACTGTCCATAGCCTCATCTTCCTCTAGCTCTGGCCACAACACCATTCTTTAAACAGAAATGTACATTAGATATGTAACCTAAAATGAAGATTTAAAATTTCTGTTCCCTGACAACTAAAGTGTGGCACATTTATTCATATGCTTAGTGGGTCATTAGAGATCTTACTATTTTCCTACATTATTTACTCCTTAAATAAAGATGAGTTTGTAGCATGTTATTAATGAGTTGAAGTAGAAATGTTGCTCGTCCTGGACTGAAGTCTTTATAAACTGAACCCACTAAAACCTATATATAGACACTTTCCAAAATGAGAGGTTTTGTCTTTGTTTTGTTGTTGTTTGTTTGGTTGGTTTTGGTTTTTCAATACAGGGTTTGTCTGTATAGCCTTGGGACAGTCCTAAACTGGCTCAGTAGACCAGGCTGTCCTCAAACTGAAAGATCCAACTGCCCCTCCACCCAGGTACTGGGATTAAAGGTATGTATCACCACTGTGCAGCTTCCAATCTATTTTATTTCATAATTTAATGTCTTCTATGGAACAACTAGTTTTTCAGTTAAAGAATACCTATTTATCATTTCATCTCTCATGGTGTATTTTTGACATAGAAATTTAGCACTTCCCAAGTTTGCAAAATTTTATATTTCAATCTTCATTATAAATATGGAAGTTTTTTATTTCAGATATCAGTGTACTTTCCATTTTCCTTTTATACTAACATTCAAAAGACCATCTAGGGTTGGGGATTAGTTTCAGTCCCACTACAGATTCTAAAGTCTATGACTACTCAAATCCCATCAGTAAAACGCAGCATTACTTGCATACAATGAATACCTATCCATTCTTTCTCTGAAGTAAGTGCTAGATGATACCCATTCCCTCTCACAGTACACACATGTGTGTGAATAGTTCATACTGCTACATAACAGCTGTTATGCTGCAACCGATATAGAATGATGTACTTACACAGGGAAAGTCCGTGCATGTCCAGTACAGATGCAATTAGTTGTCTCTAGAATAAGATTTGATCTTCAGTTGTTTGGTCTTCAGTTTGATCTTTGGAAGAGGACTCTGAGGAAAAGGAAGTAGTGGGAGGTTTTGTAGTTGAAGTGAGGTAGGTTGTAGTTGCTTTTTTTCCCATGAGATGGTCTACTGTAGTCTTGGTTGTTGCAAGGGCAGGACTTTTCCTCCTGGTGAGACGGCTCACCTGGGTAAAAGTACTCGCCACACAAACTTACTCACCTGAGTTCAATCCTTGGACATGTCAGAAGGTGGAAAGAGAGAAACCACCTCAGAGTTGCCCTCTGACCTTCTTCACCTGAGCACTGTGGCATGCACACACCCCACTCAAGCACAACAATAAATAAACAACACACCACACCACCACAACAATAAATAAACGATGAAAATTTAAAAAGACATGACATTTCTCTTCTCAGGGTACTAGCATGTTCACTTGTGAAAATGAATTGGCCATATATTCTTGGTCTCTTTTAGTCCCTTTGTAGTTCTGCAAAACATTTGCCAGCGGCTCATCCCTTTCCTCAGGAGGGCCTGTTGGGATTTGGATAGCAGGCTATGGAATCTGTGTGTCAATTGGTAGGACTCAGGAACACCCCTTGGGGGTCTCCATGTATGAATTAGTGATGTGACTTGATTCCATTATCTGCTTTATAAAATTCCCTTATTATTTTGTGTGTATGGGTATGTTGATGGTGTGTAGGTGTACCTCGTGATGGAGTGCCTGTGGAGGCCAGAAGAGGGCATCAGATACCCTGGAACTGAAGATACAAACAATTGTGAGCAGCCATGTGTGTAGGGAATGGAACCTGGATCCTCTGGAATAGCAGCCAATGCTCAGAGCCACTGCATGGATATGGTGTCCACACAGCAATCCAGGAGGTCCTCCTGCATCCTCAGCACTGAAACCTGCATGTGGCATCCCACACTGACAGTCAGGACTTCTGGCCAGTGAGATCAGAGTCACCTCCCCTTCCCAAGGACTAAGGAAAGTGTTAGGGTCCTAGAGAAGTCCCACAAAAGACCATCATATACATATGCAATCAACAAGAGCATTTATTATCTTGACTGTAAAGGTACCAGCATGCTGGGACCCCACATCTGACACAAAGGCAAAATGGTGACCCCAAGGGAAGCTTACAGGTTCTTTTATACACAGCTAAAGGAATTCTAAAGGTAGTGAGGTCATTCTATCTGGATTGGCTTATGCCAGTGGCAATCATATTAGTACATTCCTGGTTGGCTAAGGCTATAGGTTTTCCATTTTTGGACAAGCCTGGACAAGTCCCAGGCTCTGTCCTTATTGTGCTTATTCCCTTACGCTACTGTGGGGCTGACTCAGACCTGGAATGTGCAGTTCCCCTCTCCTTGCTGTCAGGTCTGTTTGTGATTGATTGCCCTTTGTATGTGGCTTCTTCAGAAATGCCTATTCAGTTTCAAGAGGCAGGAAGTGAGGCCTAGTTCTTAACTGAGTTATTAGCAGCCTGCCATGGTACTTGCCTGGCCTTCTCAGAAAGTACTGGAAAAAAAAAACTGTTTTGAATGGAAAATTTAAAATAAGTTTCCACCATTACCCATGCAACCATATGTAATAAGAAAGAAAACTACAGGAAAAGCAATAGATATGTATACATTAATACCTTAGATCACTAGCTATTTTTAAAGTAAAACGTTGTGACAGAAACCCTACAAGAGAAATGGGCAGGTTTATAATATGCTTGCAAAATGACAGACAAGGGTGAACAGTCTCTCAGGGATGGTAATTGGACAAGCACACAGTTGAGCTCTGTGACAGAGTCAGACTGACAGGGAACCAGAACAGCTTCTTGATGTTATGGAGAGAGAATTCTTCTGGGGCAGCTTCTGAGCATCACTGATCTTAGTTTTAACAAGGAAAAAAAATCCACATTCTCAGCCCTTTAAAATCTTTGCAGAATTTGCTTTGGCTCTGATAGTGTTACTTCAAAAGCTATTTCCCTCTCTGAAGCCTCTTCACTCTGGAGTAGGGACTCAGTGTGTCATCCATCACAAAATCATACAGTACTTTGATCCAGGAGTAGTGATGGGGAGTTTATCATAGTATTCAGCTACTATTTTCCTCACCTGGAAGTGAAAAAACAAAGGGAGTGTTACTGAGGCCTCAAGGTGACAGGTGAGGGTCTGACAGACAGAGGGACAAAATACCAACTCAGCCAAAGGGCAACACCCTTGCTCATGGTCCTTCAGACTCCCTGCAGTTCTTCATGAATAAAATCGACAGATCACATGCACATAAACAGCTCAGTATCATAATCCACACTGGACTCTTATCAAAGCCAGTGGCAATCAGTTTAGCTTAGCAGATGGTACAGAGAAACACTGGGGTTCCAAAACTGTAAAATGACGGAGCCAGTCAGAGCCTGGATAAGCATTTGAGACATTTGTTAAGACTAAATGTACATTAGCAACCAGGATGACACAAAAGATGATAAATTATAAACATTAAAAGGATATAATATAAAACTTCAACTTTATGTATGGATTATAAGTTCTAGAGAATTTATTAGCCAGGTGACCAATACAAGGAAAATGCTAAGCCTGTTTAACAGTTGAAAGAGCAGTCACGTAGCCCTCATATGCCCTTCACCAGTTTGAAGGTGTGACACAGTGACCTCTGACAGTCGCCCTCTGCAATGTCCTGCAGAACACTCTTGTTCTCTTGCTGAATGTCGCACGCCTTTAATCCCAGCATTCAGGAGGCAGAGGCAGGCAGATTTCTGTGAGTTCGAGGCCAGCCTGGTCTATAAAGTGAGTTCCAGGAAAGGCGCAAAACTACACAGAGAAACCCTGTCTCGAAAAACCAAAAAAAAAAAAGAAAGAAATAATGAAACCTATTGGAATTCATGCCTGAGTTCTAGAAAACTTAACACTGGCAATTCATCCCTCAGTATCTCAACACGTGTTTCCAAAAGGTGTCACTCTATAAAGCAGAAAACACTTTTACTACATTATATTATACAAGTCGGTTCAAGGAAAAAAATGATAGTCCATGCCAGGGCATTGCAAATTGATGTCTACCCGATTTTCAGAACATTTACACAGCATTTCAAGGTTCTAATGAACAAATCAACTAGCTCCAAGTAATTCTGTAGTGAAGTTTCACAAAGTAGTAATAGTATTTCGTGGACCAGTCCACCCTTCCTAACAAAGCCCGTCAGCATGATGGTGACAAAACCTCCTCAGCCTGAGATTGCTGCTCACTCCATAGAAGGGTTTGTTTCCTAATTCTGAGTTTGTGGTATTGGAATGAAAATGGAAGGATTAGGAGGTGTGGCCTTCTTGGAGAGCTGTGTCACCAGGGTGGGCTTTGAGGTTTCAAAAACCCATGCCAGGTCCAGTCTCATCAGCACCACGCCTGCCTGCCTTCTGCCATGCTCCCCTCCATGAAGATCATGGGCTAACCCTCTGAAACTGTAAGCCAGCCCCTAATTAAATGCTTTCTTTTATAGGTTGCCTTGGTCATGGTGTCTCTCCACAGCAGTAGAACAGACATTGAAACACTGAAACAGCTATTTACTAGATAACAGATTTTACACATCTCCCAATGCTTCTGGACCTAAATTCAACCACTAAACTTAAGGATCTAAAAGAGTGTACCCTGGATAAAAACTAGCCTGTCAGGCATTAGATGTATATTACACTTTGATTTTCATTTTAATGAGCTTTGGTTGATAAAATATACTAGCTTCCTTTAAAATGATCAAGTAAAGACTAATTTGGATTATATTGCTATTAGAAATGAAAGTATTTATCAAATCCTTCACTTACCAGCGGCAGGTTTTTCCCAGGAATGTTGGGGAAGTCATGGTGTTCATTATGGTAGCCCACATTGAAGGTCAGGAAATTCAGAGGCCCATAATATGAGTATGTTTCATGTCCCTTTAGGAACATGCAATGTTCGGCTATAAAATGCCCAGAAATTGGGTGCAAACCCAGGCCAAGCAGGGAGGCTGCCAACATGTAGACTAAAGATTTAATTCCAAAAACATAGTAAACTATAATGTCAAAAATGATCTGAGCCACAGCATTGATGATTTCCAGATGAGAAACTGGTTTTGGGTTGATAAATAGAGGTCGGAAAATCACAAAGAGAGGCTGAAATATAACCCAGGCCAGCTTCCTGAATGTGGTGCAGAAGAACCAGGCCTCAAAATCGGTAGGAATGTCCACATCAAGGCCACCAACTCCGAGGTATCGATGGTGATCCATGTGGTATCTCTTAAAGGAAATCGAATATGGAACTCCCAAAGGGAGGTTAGCAAATATTCCAAACCATCTGTTCCACAGTGCCCTGTGGTGGCCAAATAAGAAATTGTGAGAAATCTCATGGATCCCCAGAGTCATTGAGTGGTTAATGGTGCCACCAAAGACAAAGGCCCAAAATATGACCCATTTCCATTCTAGGTCTTTCACTAAGTAAAATGAAGCCAGCTGGATGAGAACCATCAGAGTTATGATCCAGATGAGGTTGGGGTCAGGTTTCATCAAGGATTTTATCTCTGGATATTTTGCTGTAAGAGAAGAAAATACAACAAGAATCATAAATGGGGATTAGTGTAAGTACAATTATAATCAATTATGTTGAAGTAAACGTGTTGAAGAAATTATACTTAAAGGAGTTGGGGAGATAGCTCAGGGGGTAAGAGCACTTGCTGTGTAAATGTGAGGACCTGACTCAATTTCCAGTACTGAGGCCACTAACCATGCATGGCTTCCTGAGCCTGGAGTCCTAACACTGGTCGACTGGAGTCAGGAGGATCCCTGGGGTTGCCACTGGCCACCAGCCTAGCTCCAGGTTCAGGGAGAGACCCTGTCTCAAAGACTAAGGTGCAGAGTAATTGAGCAGGACACTCAATGACTGTCTCTGTACTCTGTGCACACAGATGCTGTTAGCTCCCACACACATGTGCACATATACCATACACACATAGAACACACACACACACACACACACACACACACACACACACACCACACACACAAACACACATGAAATTATAGTGAAGTGAACTCATTAATTACATTTTTCTCAAAATCATAATATTCCTGTTATTAAAGGTATAGCCAAATATTTATATGTTTTAGGGAAACAATATTTTGATAGCAAGTTCTAATATATGGTGACATAACAATGTATAATAGGGCTAGCCTTGAACTCACAGAAATCAGCATGCCTCTTCCTCCTAAGTGCTGGTATTAAAGGCATGTGCCACTACATCCAGCTGATTAGTTTTTTTCATCTTTTCAATTATGTTGTTCTAATTATGCTTTGGAATCTTTGCGTTATTAACACATGTGACAAAGGATAGGCCTAGTTTAAAGTCTTCTAAAATGTGAAACTTTTCTTCATTGTTCTCATGGACTAATTGACTCATTCCAAATAATCTGTACTGAATTTTCAGTAAGTAGTAATAGTTAAACACTACAATAGTAGCTCAAGATGCTTGCATTTAAAAATGAGCATTTTCATGAAAACATGATAGAACAATTAGTTATCAACATGTAGACTAATGAAGAGGACACCTTGGAGACTTATGAAGAGGACACCTTATAGACTAATGAAGAGGACACCTTGTAGACTAATGAAGAGGACACCTTGTAGACTAATGAAGAGTATATCTTATAGACTAATGAAGAGGACACCTTGTAGACTACTGAAGTGGACACCTTGTAGACGACTGAATTGGACACCTTGTAGACTACTGAAGAGGACACCTTGTAGACTAATGAAGTGGACACCTTGTAGACTAATGAAGTGGACACCTTATAGACTAATGAAGTGGACACCTTGTAGACTACTGAAGAGGACATCTTGGAGACTAATGAAGTAGACATCTTATAGACTAATGAAGTAGACACCTTGTAGACTAATGAAGTAGACACCTTGTAGACTACTGAAGAGGACACCTTGTAGACTAATGAAGTGGACACCTTGTAGACTAATGAAGTGGACACCTTATAGACTAATGAAGTGGACACCTTGTAGACTACTGAAGTGGACACCTTGTAGACTAATGAAGTGGACACCTTGTAGACTAATGAAGTGGACACCTTGTAGACTAATGAAGTGGACACCTTGTAGACTACTGAAGAGGACACCTTGTAGACTACTGAAGTGGACACCTTGTAGACTAATGAAGTGGACACCTTCCATTAAGCATGCACAACTATTAACTAAAACTGTGTCAAAGAACTAATGATAAAATCATAAAACTAAAAGAAAATATTGATGGAAATCTTTATGACCTCTGTGATTTCTTACACACACTACTCAAAGGTATTTGATTAAAGAAAAAAAGGAGAAATTGGATTGCATTAAAATATTTTCTACTGTAAATGATGCCATTGAAAAATTGAAAACTATTCAAAACATGGGGAATCACATTTGGAAAGTATCTATTTGATAAGGAAACTTTATGTAGAGTGTATAAGGAACTTTTAAAGCTTATACAAACAAGTGATAATACAATTGAAAAACTGCATAATGTCTGAACAACTCTTTCTCCAAAAACATATGTGATGGCGAATCTTGTTTGTTAACTTGACTACCTCTGGAATTAACTAAAACCAAAGCATCTGGGCATGCCTGTGATGGATTTTTCTTGGTTGGATTATCTGAGGTGGAAGATCCATCCTAAATCTGAGCCAAACTTTCTGGTGACAACCCGCATAAAAGAACACAGAAGAAGGAAGCGTTTGCTGTTTGCCTGTTTGCCCTCACTCTCCCTGGTAGTTCATCTCTCCTATTCCTGAGGCATTCCTTGACTGGTGTTAGACCCTACCTCTTCAGGATTCCACTGTAGACTGAAGACCAGCAGCTCTTTAGGACTTCCCTGGGACTCCAGCAGTAGACTTTGACTGCTGAGATATCCAGCCTCTTGAACTGAACATCTACTGGATACTTGGTTCTTATATCGAGACAGCCATTGTTGGACTACCCAGACCACAGCCTGTCAGCCACTCTAACAAACCCCTTTCTTTCCTTGCTACCCCTGTGCCAGGATGACTGACATGAGCAACTGTGCCTGGCTATAATGTAGGTGCTGGGGTCTGAATTCAGGTCATCATGCCTACAGGACAAGCACTGTATTGACTGAGCTATATCTCTAAGGCCGCTTCATTCTTATTTATCATAGCTTAATAATACATTATTGTATATACACACACCACTCTTTCTTTATCCATGCTGCTCATTGATAGGCACCTCAGTCAATTCCATAACTTAGCTATTGTGACTGTTACAACACGTGACTGTGCAAGTTTCTCTTTTGTATGCTGACTTTACTCACTTTGGAAGTATAGCAGGAAGTGGGAGAGAAAATTATATGGTAGATCTATTTGTAGACTATTTGGGGGAAAATCGCTATTTTTTTAGAGTTAAGTTTTAGAAAAATCTATTCTGTTCTCCATAGTAACTATATAGTTTACCACCCAAACAGCAGTGCCTTTTCTCTGTTTATGTTTCTCTGATGGCTAAAGACATGGAGGAATTTTCCATATAATTGTCATTTGTATTTAATTTTTGAGAAGTGGCTCTTCAGATCATTAACTCCTTTCAAACTTGGATTAATTGTGGGTTTCATTGTTTTTAGAAATCCTTATGTATTCTGGATGTTAGCTTTCTGTCACATGACTAATTGGAAATATGTTCTTCCATCTGTACATTGTCTCTTCACACCTTTGCTGTTCCCTTTGCTCTGCAGAAGCTTGCAAGATTGGTAGAAGCCTGTTAATGAACCTGGCTTGTGTTTGCCTTTGGACTCTGCTCATTGCTGATATCTCCAAGTGTTCGCCGCCCTGTGTTTAGTCCAGCAGGTTCAAGTCTTACATTCAACTACTTGGTGCATTTTGAGCTGACTTTTTTTTTTTCAAGACAGGGTTTCTCTGTATGTGATCCTGGCTGTCCTGGAACTCACTCTATAGACCAGACTCCCCTTGAATTCATAGAAATCTGCCTGCCTCTGCCTCTTGAGTGCTGGCATTAAAGGCATGCATCACCACTGCCAGCTTGAGTTGACTTTTCTACACATTGATAAGAGTAAAATTTCAGTATGGTACATGTGGATCATTTTTGTGTCTTCTTCAATTTTTCATCTATATTTTGTAATTTTCATTCCTGAAGACTCTTACTTCATAACTAAAGATTATTCTGAGCAATTTAACTTTTTTTCTTTTTGAGATATGGTTTCTTTGTGTAGCCTTGGCTATACTGGAACTCACTCTGTAGACCAGGGCTGGCCTCAAACTCAGAAACCTGCCTGCCTCTGCCTTCTGAGTGATGGGATTAAAGCGGTGCCCCCACTGCCCCTTGCTTTTTAACTTTTTAAAGCTATTGTGGAGTTGGGTTTGGCTTCATGTTTTTCTTTCTCAGCAATTTCTTTTGGGAATATAGAAAAGACACAGATTTTAAAAGGCTAGGTCTTCTTTATGTCTCCCAGTTTGGTCTCAAACTTGAGGGACCTTTGTAGTTCTCCTGCCTCAGCTCCCTGAGTAGTATACAAGAGTGCATCACCATGCTCAGCAAACAAACTAACTTTGGTATGTGTGTTTGTATCCTATGATGTTACTGAATTTGTTCTCAGTTGTGGTGTTTTGAATGAGAAGGCCTCCCATATCTCACATATTTGCATGCTTAGTCCCTAGTTGATGAACTGTTTGGAAAGATTAGGAGGTGTGTCCTTGTTGGAGGATTTGTGTTGCTGAGGGTGGGCTTTGAGGTTTGAAAAGCTCACACCAGCCACAGCCGCCCCCCCCCCCTCTGCCAGCAGCCATGTCACAGGAACAATAGGTGGCAATTGAAGTTGTAGGTGTCAGTCCACCAGAAGAAAAACTCTTTCTGGGTATAACCTTGTAAGCAAGGCCACAAGGCCTCAGACTCTGGAGTGTCTTTTGCTTCTGTTGTGCTTTTACATGTTGCTGATACAATTTTTCTCTGGTATCTGACATGGTGTATATTGCATGTGGGGGGTCCCTCACTGCCTGTATTGTAGTGTGTTTATCTCATGAAAACATCCCAATCTACTGGGCACTTATATTCATGGACTGGCAGGAAGATGATTCCTCCTTAAGCTGTATTGTCTAATTGATACAGAGATTTGATGAATAAAAATAAATACTAGGATACATTTCATAGCTAAGGCCTATGAGTTCCATTTAGGATCTGCTTCAGATCACAGATCAGATTTATGATTTAGGAAAACATTTGAGTCCAGGAGCCAGGCTGGTTCAAAGTCTTTTAATTTTAATGCTGAGAAATGCAGTCACAGGTTTCATGTGCACCATTAGGTAAAACAAAGCTTCAAAATATCTTCAGATTAGACCGGATGCCTTATTAATAGTTTTTAAGATAAACATTCCCAGAAAAACAATCTATAGTTCACAAGGACATAGCTGACCTATCTGGCTACGTCATAAATACAAAACAGCCCAATTATTGCTAGCTAGCAAATGATTAATTCCTTGTACCCATTCCTGACCTCAATTTGTGAAAATAAATTCTTATTAGTCAGGGCTACAAAAAATAATTTGACTCTGTAGCCCCAAAACAAGGGCTACAGGTTTCTTTTGATAGTCAGGAGTCACACACATGGCAAAAAGTACATTTGAGATTTAAAGCATCGTGAGAGTGCCAACTGAGCCAAAGCTAAAAGATACATGTTATCTCAGGAATGTTGACTTGAACCTAAATTAGAGGATTTATGGCATCTCTTTGCCTGGAGACTTGGCACTCTCTAGATACCTTCTAATTGCAGGGTGTAAATTCAAAATGTTTACAGGGTCATTGAGTCATTTTAAATTGCTTTTTCTCTGCCTGAGAGATTGCAGGGCTTGAGGTCAAAGTGGCTAATACACTCAGAAATGTTGCAAGTACACAACTTTCTCATTTTGGGGGGCTCTCCAGCAGTTTAGGTTTGTGATTTCTTTAAAATTCCTCATATGATTACCTCTAAAGATAGATAATAAAGTAACTGATTCTTTTTTTTAATCACTACAATTTACAGCCTGTCAACTAAAGAGTTGGCTGAGAAAACACATTTCTTGCTTGCTCATGACAGGCTACTTAGATATATTACATGTGAGTTGTTGGGATGACCCTGTTTCTAACCATGTCTTTACCTATGGAATGTGACCTCTTTGTGACTCCTGTATTGCCTGAAAGATTCTGTTGGGGTATTTAAGCAGTGGCGGGAAAGGGAAAAAAGAAGATGAACAACATGAGAGAATAAAGAAAGGAACCATCAAGAGAACACATGAGTGTCTTCATTTTCCCTAACCCACAGATAGAAAAGTCTTAGCTTCACCAACGCTGTGGATTTTCCTTAGAGCCCTGTGCACTGCCTGGAGGCCGGAACCTTGAGGTGGCAATATCTCTCTGTCTCTCTCTCTGCCTGCTGCCTGCAGATCAGGATGTTAGCCATGTCTGCCTGCATGCCAACATGCTTCCCACCATGATGGTAATAGACCAGCCCTCTGAAACTGTAAGCAAGCCCCCAGTTAATGCTTTCTCTTATGAAGACTTGCCTTGAGTATGGTGTCTCTCCACAGCAATAGAACATGAAGACATCATTTTCTCTCTTTTTACATGAATTTCATTTTTATTTATGTGTACATGTGTTTGCATCTATGAAGGTGTGTATGGGTATCCATGGAAGACGGAAGAAGGTGTTGGATCCCATAGAGCTTGAGTTACAGGCAACTGTGAGGTCCCTGATATAAGTGATGCTGAGAACTGAACTCCAGTCCAGCAGTGCACACTTTTAACTGCTGGCCATTTCTCTAGACACTGTTTGTCAGTTTTTTTTTTTTTTTTTTTTTTTTTTTTTTTTGGGTTTTTCGAGACAGGGTTTCTCTGTGTAGCTTTGCGCCTTTCCTGGAACTCACTTGGTAGGCCAGGCTGGCCTCGAACTCACAGAGATTCGCCTGGCTCTGCCTCCCGAGTGCTGGGATTAAAGGCGTGCGCCACCACCGCCCGGCTGTTTGTCAGTTCTAATAGCCTTTTGGTGGATTCTGTTTTCCTACATGTAGGATAATATGGGCAACTGAATTTGTTTCTTGTCTTTCTTCTGCTTATTTGAACTTTCTAAAACTTCTTAGGCTTATTCTGCAGAAGAGCAGTGAGTGTCTTTTGTGCCCAGAGCCTGGAGGCCACCAGAGGAAAAGAAGATTTCTGCTGTGCCAGAAAGCCTCGAGCAAAAAGCGAAGAATCTCCACAGAAGTGAAGGTAAGGCACCTGAAGAACAAGTGTGCCTTAAAGACACTTTGAAAGGTGGGAGGAAGCTCATCTGTGAGAAAAGGAATCCAGGCAGATGTACAAGATTGACACTAGCATGGCTGGCAAGAAGAGCTGGAAACTTCTGTGTCCCTACAAAACCAAAATTGGGGTTTGTCACCAGAACTCAGGATATCTATGCTGTAGCCCAAAGGTCTGCAAGATGTTGCATTTTCTCTGCCTGTGCCACATCTCCAATGACAGACACCTTTGTTAAAGCCAACAGACTTCAGTTCCCATGCTGAGGATTGTGGAACCACACAATGCATGGGAGTACCCCAACATGAAGTCTGTAAATAAGCTAATCTACAAGCCTGGGGATGGCAAAATCAGTAAGAAGTGAATTACCTTGACAGATAATTCCTTAATTGCTTGATCTCTTGTATGATTATCTCATCTGCATGGAGGGTCTAATTCCTGGGATCTATACAATTGGAAAATGCTTCAAGGAAGCAAATAACCTCCTAAGGCTCAATAGAGAGAGAGAGAGAGAGAGAGAGAGAGAGAGAGAGAGAGAGAGAGAGAGAGAGAGTGAGAGAGAGAGAGAGAGAGAGCAGGTGAGTGTCACCCTGGCCTTCTTCCTGAATATGGAGGAAATACTTTCAGTTCTTTCCCCGTTCAGTATGATGTTGGCTGGGCCTCAGACCCATTCTCATAAATTCTTTGCCAAGCATTCCATTCTCATAGTTTCTGTAGCTTCTATTGCTAAGAAGTTATTTTGTTCTTTTTCTAGCATCATATTGCCAAGTTTTACATACATTTTATAAGCTTATTTTGAAATTTTTGGGTGTGTCTGGTTGATCAGATTTCTCTGCCAATTTTATGAAATGGACTTATTAGGGTGTGAATGGTTTTCCCTTGAAGATGTGCCTCGAAGTTTCAGTTTGCTATGCAATGTTGACTTTATTTTTATTATTGTAGCTGCAACTTTTCCTATGTCCTGCCTGGTCCCAAGGCCACTCGGTCCCAAGTAAACACACAGACGCTTTTATTAACTATGAACTGTTTGGTCTATGGCTCAGGCTTCTTGCTAGCTAGCTCTTTCATCTTAAATTAACCCATTTCTATTAATCTATGTTTTGCCACACGACTTTGTGGTATTACCTATGTTCCATTACCTCTTGCTCCCCCAGTGTCTCCTCTGACTCTACCTTCTTCTTGTCTCTCTGCTTGGATTCCCCACCTGGCTCTATTCTGCCTAGCCATAGGCCATAGCAGCCTCTTTATTAATGAATGGCAACAACACATATTCACAGAATACAGAAAGACCATCCCATAGCACATTAGAGTATCCCTATACCATCTGTGGCTGTGAGTGATGACTTTGGCACAACGTATACTATGCAGAATCAGCAAGAGCCACTGTCCTCTAGAGTGTTATGACAGCAACGACATGCTAATGGTCCAAGCAGTGTGTTGTAGACAGCAGCGGGTGTGAGGGCCTCACAGTGTGGCTTCTCCTACAGTGCAACTGGTGGTCGGTGTAGGAGAGTGGGCACTGTTGAGGCTAGCTCTGCAGCAGCAAGGGCCTAGGACACTGTTGGCCCCAGCAGTGGTGAAGTGCTGAAGCCCTTGTCCTCTGACCTCTCAGAGGTGTGGCTCAAAGAGGCAGCAGTGAGAAGCACAGCACCCCCTCTTTGGCACTTGCACCCCAGACACACTCTTTCAGCTGAAGTGCACTTTAGGAGTAGAAGCCATCTGAATGGAGCAGGGTGGGGTTTCTTTTCATCCCCTTGGTCCAGGAACACCCACTGGGGGATTGTTTGTAAAGCATGAAATGGACTTTTAACACTAGCTCTAACTACAGATTCAAAAATGCGTGAATGTCAGCTGTTAAAACAGCATCTATGGCCAGGCGGTGGTGGCGCACGCCTTTAATCCCAGCACTCAGGAGGCAGAGCCAGGCGGATCTCTGTGAGTTCGAGGCCAGCCTGGGCTACCAAGTGAGTCCCAGAAAAGGCGCAAAGCTACACAGAGAAATCCTGTCTCGAAAAACCAAAAAAAAAACAAAAAACAAAAAACCAGCATCTATGGGCCTGGTGATGGTGGCACACGCCTTTAATCCCAGTGCTTGGGAGGCAGAGGCAGGCGGATCTCTGTGAATTTGAGGCCAGCCTGGTCTACAGAGCAAGTTCCAGGACAGTCAGGACTGTTACACAGAGAAATCCTGTCTCAAAAAAACCAAAAATAAATAAATAAATAAATAAATAAATAAATAAATAATCTATGATCTCTTCTTTTTCCTCCTGCGAAGAAACTTGACAGAAATTTCAGAAATATGCCATCATGTCATGTAATTTAATCAAATATCCTGATTTTCTTGCCTAAGGCCATTCTATCTCTGTCTTCAGAAACGCACACTGAGTAGCATTTATGCCTCTTGGAAAATGGTATAATATTCATTGAGATTCGGGTGAGATGGCTCAATGCTAAGTTTGTACGGAGACTCCCTGTTGGGACAAACATCAATTACAGTTTCTCATTTCTTTAATTTTCTGACTATTGATGAGATCATGAATCCCAGTGTTTGAGGGTGGGTTTTCTTAAAGTGGATATCACATTATTATTATGCAATATGTAGATAAGCATAGATAAGGTTACCACATGCCTTCTCATATCAAGTATGCAGAAGCGATTTGCAAAATGAGAGAGAGAGCATGCAAGAACCAAGTCTCCCTGCCCACAAGGTCTCCTGGGACTCTGTGTAAACAAACTGGCCTGGAACTCACAAAGCCCCACCTGGCTCTAACTCTGGATGCTGGGATTCAGGTGGCTCCCATCTCAGCTGGCGAGCCCAAAGTCTTTCAAGGGCTTCCCTTAATGCGCACCTTAAAGTTCCTCTCACCATCAGTAATTGAGTTGTTAAACCTGATTTCAGTGTCACTGCTAAGTCATCCATGAAATAAGGAATTTCTAACTTAGATACTCATGAAAACAGGGCCTTGTCTTTTCATTGGAAAAATGGACGTCAAGAGAAAGCAAACTGTTGTGTATAGCAGAGATCTCCGGGGGTTGGGGGTGTGCCACAGTGTAGAGCTGCTGTGTGAGACCCTGGGTTTGGTCCCCAGCACTGGAGGAAGGGCTCCTCACATTCACCCCCTCCCATTCGCGTCCTTGGTTTAAAGAGAACAGGTTAGAAGCATGCTCTTTGCAGACAGTCTAACCCAGGTTACATCCTCCTCCTAGCGCCGATCTCCTTCACTCTCACTGCATCTTCTAAAAGGCAGAAAAGGCAGAACACTGGAATGAGGAGAAGTTAGGCAATGTCAGAGAGAACCCAACTCAAAAGGCTGGTGGGTCATGAAGAGCAGTCTGGGAGAGAGGAGAGAATTCCCTGGGAACAGGGAAGGGCCCTGTAAACTCTAGAGTTGTGAGAACTGGGTAGTCTGGCTTAAAGCCTGAATGAACAGCCATGAGACCACTGGAAGAAGCCAGTAATCGTCCCTGTTCAGCTAATCACCCATATTTCAGTCTCTTTAATCACAAACCCCAAAAGGATAAAAAATGCCTTCGATTCTGTCCTGAGGGCAGATGTGAGTACACCAGGACCTGTCCTCTCTAAAAAGTCCTGGAGTCACAGGGTAGGGTGCTGGCCCCTGATAGTACTGTCTCTCGCTTAGGACCACAAGAGGGTGGCTCCAGCAGCTCTGGGGCCATTCAGCATCATGCAATTTGCTTCACATGCCTGCTGCCTGGCTTTGCCCTTCTCCTGGAGACATTCGATGAGGCATTTGAATTGCAACCTAGCCATGGCTCAGGAATCTCTGAGTTGGAGGATCTTGCTGGAGATAGCCCGGCCAAAGGGACCCTTAGCTCTAAGGTCAACAGAGGCAAGATGAGTGAAGGGACCAGCTTGTTCCTCCTAAAGAAAGGCCAGTGCAGCAGAGAGACAGGTAGACCCTGTACCCAGTTCTGCACTGTGTGCCCCAAGCCTCCTGAGGGATTCTCACCTGGGTGACCCCAACCAAGCCTTGGCAATAGGGAGTCGGGGAAGGGAATAGGGAGGTGGCAGCGCCTTGTCTTAGGTATCCCTGACATAACTGACAGGCATAAAATCTCACCCAAGATCTCCCGACGTCGATCCTTGTGCAGCTGATTAGTGTAGACCCACTCAAAATCTTTCTGTGAAGCGTGGTTCCGCATGGCTGTGTGCAGACCTGCACCTTCAGGTGCAGCCCTGTGAAGGTGATGGTGTTGGTGGCAGTTGTTGCCTGTGTCTGTGGTTGCCTGCACAGGCTGAGTAAACCCCTGAAAGTGGCACAAAACCCCGCCCAGTCTCCAGCCCCGCCCAGTCTCCAGCCCCGCCCAGTATCCGGCCCCACTCAGTCTCCAGCCACGCCCAGTATCCAGCCCCACTCAGTCTCCAGCCCCGCCCAGTCTCCAGCCCCGCCCAGTCAGGGCCCCGCAGCCCACTCAGCAGGCTGTGCCTCCAGGTTTGGATGCCGGTTCCTCAAGAGTTCCAACTCCTGTAGTCTGTATGCACCACGGCCAGTGCCTGAGCACAGTCTCCAAGAACTTGGAGCTCACCTCCTTTGGGGGTGGACAGAATGTGTGGGAGAGTCAAGGCTAAGAATGTACAAGAAAACAACAGACATTTGGTGGTGAGCAGCTAAGAGGAGGCCGGGAGCTCCTTAAGAACATGCTGAGCCATGCATGCACCATTAAGTTACCAGAGAAAACTTAACGACTGGCCACAAAAGCTACCCTTGAGCCTGGAGAAGAGCTTTCTTGTGGGGATATGCATGTGGATGCCTTTAAATTAAACAGCCATTTAAAAAGAGAAAAAGCTGAAGAAACCACAAGTTCCCACATGGACACAGATGATGGCTGCACATTAAGCGCTTGTCATGAGCTGCTCTGCACTCAGCACCCACACTCCCCATGCAGTCTGAGGTTAGCTTACAGCCAAGCTCCAAGGACAATGAGTCACTGTGCCACGCCCAGCCACAGCAGCTGAGGTGGTAAGACTATGGCCCGGACTAGTCCTTCAAGCTCTGGAAGAGCTGGAGATAGAGGAAAAAACCACAGATGGGTCTTAGTTAAGTTGCTATTGCTGTGAAGAGACACAGTGAGCATGGCAACTCTTATAAAGAAACATTTCGTTGTGGTGGCTTGTTTACAGTTTCAGAGGTTCAGTCCATTATCGTCATGGTGGGACGTGGCTGCATGCCGGCAGGTGTGGTGCTGGAGAAGCTGAGAGTCCTACATCTTGCAGGCAGCAGGAAGTGGTCTATCTCCCTGGGAGTAACTTAAGCTCATAGGAAATCTCAAAGCCCACCCTCACAGTGACACACTTCCTCCAACAAGGCTACACCTCCTAAGAGTGCCACTCCCCTTGAGGGCCATTTTCCTTCTAACCACCACAGGCTGTGACCAAAACCTCAGGAAGGAGACTGGAACAGAATCAGCCAGTGTCTGTTAGAACAAATGGTGTTGCATTGCCCTCTTGTGAAGGAAGAAAGAAAGGGAGGGAGGGAGGAAACATAGGCTGTATAGTTCCCTTTACATGACAGTATAGAAAACAAGTCTAATGAGGGATAGAAAGTAAGTCACTCGCCGATCAGGGGTAGTGCACACCTTTAATCCCAGGCAGAGGAAGGTGGATCTCTGTGAGTTCGAGGCCAGCCTGATCTACCAAGTGAGTGCCAGGACAGCCAGGGCTACACAGAGAAACCCCGTCTCAATAAAACAAAAATAAAATAAAGTAAGTCAGTGGTTGTCTGAGTCCGAGATATGAAAACATTCTGTATGCTGATTATTGTGATGGTGAGTGAACAGTACAGTAAACAATGGGAGAATTTCACTCCTCAGTAGCAGTCCTAAGCTGCTGGTGGCACTCAGTCTTGTAGGGAGCTTTAGCAGTAGGTTTCTATATGATGTTTGCTGTGGGATGTTCTGTACGTTAAATGTGTTGCTCTGACTGGTTAATAAATAAAACACTGATTGACCAGTAGCCAGGCAGGAAGTATAGGTGGGACAAGCAGAGAAGAGAATTCTGGGAACAGGAAGGCTGAATGAGAAGACGCTGCCAGCTGCTGCCATGAAAAGCGAGATGTAAGGTACCAGTAAGCCAGGAGCCACGTGGCAACTTATAGACTAATAAAAATGAGTTAAGATATAAGAACTAGATAACAAGAAGCCTGCTGCAGCCATACAGTTTGTAAGCAATGTAAGTCTCTGCATGTTTACTTGGTTGTGTCTAAGCAGCTGCGGGACTGGTGGGTGAGAGAGATTTGTCCTGACTGTGGGCCAGGCAGGACTGGAGAAGACTCCAGCTACAGATGTTTTTAAAGGTCTTTACTCCCTCCTCTTTCTTACTCCTCCCATCCTCCACCCCATTGAAACCCTCCTGCTCCGTCATTTCTTTATTCCACCTGTATTCTATCCCCCTTCCCTTCAAGCATCCCCTCCCTGTGGTGCTTCCTGCCATGTCTAGGTCAGAGTCTGCTCCCCTAGCACTGTTTACTCCTGAGGACCAACCATAAGAATCTTCTGAGTTCTGCTCTCCCAGACATGTGACCTTGTTGTGTTCACCTCCTGAGGCTCATGAGCCTTCCCCTCCCTCCTGGAAGGAGTACTGTCATGAGGAAACTGTCACAAAACAGGAAACTGTCAGAGGAAACTGTCACAAAACAGGAAACTGTCAGAGGAAACTGTCACAAAACAGGAAACTGTCAAAGGAAACTGTCACAAAACAGGAAACTGTCACGAGGAAACTGTCACAAAACAGGAAACTGTCACAAAGAAACCATCACAAAACAAGAAACTGTCATGAGGAAACTGTCACAAAACAGGAAACTGTCAGAGGAAACTGTCACAAAACAGGAAACTGTCAGAGGAAACCGTCACAAAACAGGAAACTGTCAGAGGAAACCATCACAAACAGGAAACTATCAGAGGAAACCATCACAAACAGGAAACTGTCACGAGGAAAGCGTCACAAAACAGGAAACTGTCAGAGGAAACTGTCACAAAACAGGAAACTGTCACGAAGAAACCGTCACAAAACAGGAAACTGTCAGAGGAAACCATCACAAAACAAGAAACTGTCACGAGGAAACCATCACAAAACAGGAAACTGTCAGAGGAAACCGTCACAAACAGGAAACTGTCATGAGGAAACTGTCACAAAACAGGAAACTGTCACAAAACAGGAAACTGTCAGAGGAAACTGTCACAAAACAGGAAACTGTCACGAAGAAACCGTCACAAAACAGGAAACTGTCAGAGGAAACCATCACAAAACAGGAAACTGTCAGAGGAAACTGTCACAAAACAGGAAACTGTCAGAGGAAACTGTCACAAAACAGGAAACTGTCAGAGGAAACCATCACAAACAGGAAACTGTCAGAGGAAACCATCACAAACAGGAAACTGTCACGAGGAAACCGTCACAAAACAGGAAACTGTCACAAGGAAACCGTCACGAAACAGGAAACTGTCAGAGGAAACTGTCACAAAACAGGAAACTGTTATGCAACAGGGGTCAAAGTGCTTCTCAAAAACCTGTTAAGGCCTGAGCTGAGCATGGCAGCTGTGCCTCAATCCCCATACTTGGAAGGCAGAAGCAGAAAGGTCACAAATTCAAGGCCATCTTGCGCTGCAATCGTCAGCTCCCTTGTCAATAAACCAGTGGCTGAAATTGGCTCAGTGATTAGGCTTTTGTCTAAGCATCAGCAGGCTCTAGATTCAATCCCCATTGTACAAAACAAAAGAGTTAATAGTTATATGTCAGGGTTGAACAAAAATGTGACACAAGAATCAGAATCCAGATTTTCTAGTCGTCACTTATTTATAAATGCTACAAAAGCATTCCTGGGTCAAATGAGGAAATTAAGGTATACAAATTTGCAACAACCAAATCATGAAAATTCCCTTAGATCAGTGGTTCTCCACCTTCCTAACGCTGTGACCCTTTAATACAGTTCCTCAGGTTGTGATGACCCCCCAACCATAAAATTATTTTCGTTGCTCCTTCATAACTGTAATTTTTGTGGAGTGGTGTCTCAGTTCCTAAGTCACAACCCATGGGTTGAGAACCTCTGCCTTAGACACTCATACATGAATGAATGTACAAAGAAAATATGTACGGTGAAGTTTCGCTCAGTCATAAAAAGAAGGAAATTAGGTAGCATTGGATGAATGGGTGGAACTGGAGTTCATTGCATCAAGGGAAACAAGCCAGGCCCACAAAGTCAGGTGTCACAGTTTTTCATCATATGTGGAGTCTAGGCAGAGGGGAGAGATTAAAAAGAAGGACAAGATAGTAAAGGGGCCCTGCCAGAGACATGGAAAGGAAAGAAGTGGGCAGGGACAGGGCTTTTAAGAAATAAGAGCATCAAAATTCTTGTTTTCTAAGCCAGTTTTTTATGTAAATGTTACAGAGATGGTACAACTTTAAGAAAATCTTGTTAAACAGAGGTATCAGTTCTACAACAGAGTAATGAATTTTGACATTAAGAATTTTTTAATTAATTAATTTAATCTTGTGTTTATTCATGTTTCTCCTGCATGTATGTTATGGACCACATGTATGGCTGGTATCCAAAGAGTTCAGAAAAGGGAATTTGATCTCATTGGAATTATGGATAGTTGTGAGCCAACATATGGGTTCTGAGAACTTAACACAGATCCTCTTCAAGGACAAGTGTTCTTAACCCCTGAGCATCTCTCTGGCCTCTGTTTTGTTTTTCCTACGCTGATTGGGAAACTGGATTTTTTTATTCCAATTCTTCATCATTTACTCTTGAAAATAATGAGTCCTTCTCACCCTCTCATTGAATTGGAATTCAAATCCTGAGTTTATTCTGTGTTGAAGTCTTTGAAGCTACACACAGAAAGTATACTTTCTCTTAATCTATGTATGTTTTCAGTGCTTTACAAGCACCCTTTGAAGAACAAGAGTTTTTCATTTAAATCAAGTACAATTTATTTTTTAATCTCTTATAGTGGGTTTCTGTCCTAAGAAATATTGTCTTTCCCAAGTTTACCAAAAAAAAGTTAACTGGTGGTTTTATTATTTTTAGAAGTACAGTAGTTTCTTCATTTAGTAGATACCATGCTACAGGTTACCTCTGCATGAGCCAGTACAGGGGAGAGTCAGAAGAGAAACAGGAAACTATGCCCAGGGAGAAGGAAGAAGA